CCCCCCCTGCATGGCCGTCACAGTGTGCATGCCACATCCACCCCCATGCCTCAACAGCCAGCTGGGTAGTTTTCTGTCTCACGCAGCCACATTCCATCCACGTCTCTGTGTGATTGCGTGATGCCCTGTGTTGTGTGTTCGGAAGAGAGTCGGAAAAATGGCAGCTGAATGCAGGAACGGACCAAAGGAAGAGACAAACCAGCCTGCTCATTTGCCCACTGCTCCCCAACCCAGATCGGCAAGACTGACAGGCTCTACGTAGGCCGTCATCGTCCGCCCTCATTGCCAGTATGGTGTGGTGGGAAAAATCACAGCTCAACACTCACGCAACTAGTCACGGTCAGCTTCCTTCCTCGTAGCGATACGCACAGCAAACACGCAAGCAACGCAACGCAAGAAGGGCGGGCCAAAACAGCCATACCTCGACCCGATCCAAACACGCAATGCAGCCAACATGCCACGCACCTCCCCTCCGCCCCCACACCCACATGCAGATTGCATTGCATCAACCAACATGTATCTCTCTCTACAGGTAAGGCAAGGCAAGGCATCTCTCTCAATGGACGTACATGGAGAGCTCCAATTGTGTATTGTGTATCACAGTGGATAGAATATAGAGGAAGGCATGTCAGTCAGATGCAGCACGTGGACGGGCCGAGAAAAAAACATACATCTCAGTCAGCCAGTTGCAAGACACACCATCGTGGATGCCGTGAGGATCACACTCGTGCATGATTCGGCAGCGTCACGTCAGGTCAGGTACAACACAGCAGACACAGGAGGCGCAGGAGAGCGACTGAGGAAGTCGCCGTCCTCACTCACTCACTCACATGCATCAGGCCAGCATGGCATGGCTCGCCGCCGCGCCAGTGTAGATCGCATGGAATCTCAACACAACACACAACACGCAAGGAGCGGCAATACACAGCACTTGCACACACGCAGCGACACTCTACAGGCAGCAACAAGCTTCGTATCCGGCGCTCTCCGGTCCGTGCGGTGCGGGGCGAAAAACATCGAATCAGTTCATTTCTCCATGCGCGTGTGTGAGAATGGGCACAAAGCACCATGACATGAAGAAGACACGAGGACCTCTCTCAATCTCTCATCATGCATTGCATCGGTCATCTCTCTCGTCGATGAGTGAGCTGCTTCGTTTCACGGCCTGGAAGAGGCCACACGACAAACACCACACCATAGGTGCGTGGTTGTGGCCCTCTCGTTGGGTGCGGACCTTAGGCAGCGGGCATGTTGGAGACCTCCTCCTGGCTGCCCTTGCGGGAGACGTCCTCCTGGCTGCCCTTGCGCTTGGGGAAGTGGTTGAGCATGCTGCCCTCCCGGCCAGGCTTGTAGTCGCCCTTGTGGTGGTCGATGTAATCCTTGGCCTTCTCGTACGTCTCAACCACCGCGTTGCTACAGACACACACACACAGACACACACACACACACACACAGAGAGAGAGAGAGAGCGGAGAGAGCGTCATCATCCCACAGGCAGGTGAGACATACGTGATCCTGTGAGTGCGTGTGTGTGGTCTTGCGTACCCCTCGGCGCGCATGGTGGAGTTGCGTCCCATGAACTTGTAGAAGTAGGAGTTCTCGATGCTGACACCCACAGCACGGACGAAACGGCAGAGGTGAGGGTGAGACACGAGTGCGAGCGGTGTGCCCATCATCCCACAGGCCTGCCTTCTCCCTCCCTCGGGTGCTTACTGTCCGAGCGGCGCGTAGGTGATCATGCCCTCGGCCATGGCCGTGGAGCGGCGGGCCATGCCGTCGGCGCAGGAGCCGGAACCCTCCTTGGCCTGCAGCTGGCGGAGCTTCTTTTCGTTCTCGGTCTCTTTGACGCCGCGGTTGCGGATGTTGTTGAGCATGTTGGCACCTCCCCAGATCCAGTCCAACGCAAACATCGTGACAGCAACTCAGGTGACAGATCGCAAGCGCCTGAAAGATGCCGAGAAGCGAAAGGAGTTGATTCTGTTTGTTTGAAGTTGGTTGGTTGGTTAAGGGTTTGACGAGACACCTGTCCCTAAGCCCGGCGCTACCTTCCGGCGCAACCAGGCATCTTCTCTGTCCACAGCACACACCAAACAGGCAACAGGCACATGCAGAATGCATGCACAAGGCCTATCTGCCCTTCCCATGGAGCAGTGGGTGCTAGTCTGACAAGTCAGCGTCAAGCACCCACTGCTCCATCTCATGCAACTCATATATGAAGTGGTGGTCTTACTGGCCGCCAGTTTCAGTCGACCCTAAGGAAGTGTAGCTCGCACATGAGCCTCTTCAGATGGCAGGTAACGCGGCGCCAAGCTACCTATGGATTAGTCGGCACCCTCCCACGCATCTGTACAGGTAGTAGCATGGGTTGCAGGCGATGGATGGACCGACTGTCTGACTCGCTCACTCCCGTTCATGCCATGGACTGGAGTGTTTCGTGTCTGTCTGTCTGTCTGCATCCCATCCGCCCACGCATCGCATCGCATACTCACATGCATGCATGCATGCATACAGACAGACAGACAGACACAGACACTCAGCCCTTTTGCACACCCAGCCCAGCCAGCTTATCGAATTGATGAATGCTGCACCCCCAGTAAAGTTCACTGCCCGTGTCCTATCTATCGAAAAACATGACCCCTCCCTCCCAAACACTCCTCCAGCAGAGCAGCTGTACAAGAGCGAATTATATCACAGCAGCCCACCACACAGCAGACAGCAACAGACAGACATGGCCGGTGTGTCAGCATATCGTAACGTCATCACGATGCTCCTCGCTGGGCCATAGCCTCAGCTGTGAACCGCATACCCATCCCTGCATGCAGTGCAGCCAACCAACCAACCGACCATTCTTTCCCCCTAGCTTTCTTGCAATTGCTGAAGCATGCGTGTATGCGTTCTGACTGACCTGTGGCCAGATATTTCTTCTTGCGCTCTTCCCTTTCCCTTTGCCTCTCCTCCAGTCCGTCCTCACGCGCACGCTGACGAGACGCCTGGACGGACGGACAGGGGCACACAGCATAACGAAGTGCATGGAGAGCACGCCTGCGTCGTATGCAGTGCAACCCTGAATACCTACCTCGATTTGCTGCTTCTCCTGCTCAGGCACCAGCAACTCGACAGCAAGCCTCACACCCTGAAACGTGTCAAGGGAATAACATGCACCGGACTGGATGGAGCACATGCGGTATGGCTAGCTAAGCTACACCGCTCTCACCTCCAGCCAGTCCTTCCAGTCACCATATGAGGTGAACTCCAGTGGCAGTGGCGCGCCAGTCTTGCTGTTGATCACCATACTGTTCGGCGACGCTGAGAACCCAATGAAATCAACAGAAACAGACGGCCGCTCTCCAGCGCTATCCTATCCCCTTCTCCCTGTTGGCTCACTGTAGGTGTCGTCGATCCGCGATATGTGTGAGAGGTGAACTGCTCCGCTTTCGACAGGCTTCATGCTTCGCATTTCCATCGTCCGCCACCGGACCTGGTCGACAAAAGCAACCAGCAAGAGGACGAAAGAGCACTGTGTCACCTGTGCGAACATGACGCAGCTGCACCTCAGCTGATGGCGTGTCGAGCGATATCCACACGGCGACGGGCCGCTGGCGATGGAGCATGCAGGTCGTTCCCGCCTCCAACACAGGCAGCGTCGAGGAAAAGAAGGAAGCCCTTATCGCCGCCCGGTCAGCACACTGTTTGCAGCCCCTGTCCTGAATGCACTTGATGAGAGCCCTTCCTGGACCATAGTGGCGCCCACAATAGAACTACAGGGAGAGAGAAAACACACAGCAGCAATGTCAGGCAGCATCTCTCAAACGGTGTGTGTGTCTTGGCCTCTGCTCACGTGGTCACAGAATGGACATGCCAATCGAGGGTTGAAGACGCCGAAGGTACAGCGGCACTGCCTGCATTCATCGGGGTTGTCAGGAATGGCTGAACTCGCATGGTTTGAGCTGTCGTCTTGCGGCAGAGGCCGGAAAGCCGGAAGATTGTGGCTCACTCGCGATGCTGCTTGCTCAGCAGCACTCCTCACAGATTTCAGCAGTTCCATCGCTGGAGCCTGCTCGCTTAGCTCGCAGCTTCCGCGAGCTGAGAAACGGGCCAGCCAGGAGGGGCCACCAGGAGGCGGTTTCGCTGGCGCGGGTAGCCATGGATGTGGAAAAAGAAGAGATCTTCTTCGACGTGGCACTTTCCGAACCCGACAAAGGCAGCCATGGTGATGTTGCCATGTTTGGAGATGCCGACGGTGACCTCGACCTGCCTCGTCCATTCCGAGGTGCCCATGCAGCTCGCTTCTCGGTCTTATCGGCGCCCAGAGCAGCCGAGCCTTCCTCTGTGGACCTGTCGACGGTCAGCGTCTCGTTATGGCGGGCGGCTCTGCGGCTCGGAGACCTCCTGCTTGCAGTGCCATACATCAGCAGCGACACGGCTATGTTGGAGCTTGGATGTGGGGTGGGCTTCCTGGGATCTCTGATTGTTGCTGCTGGTTGTCAGAGATCCCCGCGCCGTCTCTTCCTCACTGATTGCTGTCTTGACAGCCTCAGGGTCGCCCACACCAATGTGACAAGGGCGGCAGGAGAGATGCAGCGTCACATTGACTTTCCTGCTATGAGGTATTTCGATTGGTGTGCTCTTGCGGATGCTGCACCATGTCGGTGGCGTGAAGGGCTACTGGCGGGGAAGCAAGGGCACGAGAGTGTTCCCGCTGAGTTCTGTTGGACCGACGACGAGCTTGACGTGCTTGGTGGCGGCTTGGACCTCATCGTCGCGTCGGATGGTGAGCAGGCCCCCATCAATCCGCAATGATGCATGGTCAATTGTGTGTGGCTGTGACCATCAGTGCTGTGTTTCTGTGGCTGTGTGGCTGTGCTGTGTTTCTGTGGTCATCAGTGCTGTACGACTTCGACGGCACCGACGCCCTGGCTCGCGTGCTGCTGACTCTCGCGACGCTCAACCCGTCAGCCACCATCATCATCGCACACGACATGCGCCTCACCTATGCCGGCCCGGCCGACGAGTGCCCTACTGATGTATTTGCCGCCCACTTCCTCGACACCTACGTGGATGCATCGGCCGACATCGAGAGAGCCACTGCGGCTGCTGCAGGCGACAGCGGCGGCAGCTGCTGGCCTCCCGCGAGGCCATGGTTTGCTATGGAGAGGCTGCCGCCCCCTCCAGCAAGGATACGCATGGTGGGAAGGGGCGGGCTGCTGTGTGATGGCGATGGAGCTGACAGTGTTGAGTTCTGGAGGCTCGCAAGTCTCATGAAGCCACCAGCATAAGCAGTGTGGCCTTCCCCCCACCTCACAAGACCAGTGTCCCTGGTGTAGACACCACAAACCACACAGCGCAGCGCAGCGCAGCGCAGCGCTCCCCGGCCGGCGAACAGCCAAGCAAGCGGCCCACCCATCCTCTCGTCAAGCCACGACAGCACGGATGTGGGAGTCCATCAGGGGTATGCGTTGCTTGGTGTCGTGCGCACGTACAGATGGATGGATGGATGGATGGACGGACGGATAATGCCGTGTGCGTGGATGTATCCAATCTGATTCAGTAACATCCTCCGGCCAGCTTGTAAACGCATGCCTCTGGGGGCGAGACGGGGGGCAAAGTTTGACGCGAGGCAAATGCGGCCTTTTGCTACTGTGGTGCAGGTACGGCCACCCCAGCACACGACCACCCACGCCCAGGCGAGTAGCTTTCGAACCGGATCATGCGTCTTGGCAAGCGTCTTGGCGTCTGCACCGCCTTGTTGCACTCATCAGACGACATGGCAGCCATCCCCGCAATCATCGCAGTATGTGACGCTTGGTCAATCACGCCTGGTGCCCCAGCAGCCTTGGGTGACATTGATCCCGACACAGAGTCTGACGCCCCAGCATGGACGAGCTCTCTACGTTTGCCCCTCCCAGCCAGCCCCAGCGATCCGGCCGCCTCTGGTGCCGTTTTGCAAGATGAAGGTGGCGCCAGCGCCCAAGATGCCCGCCGGAGACAGAGACGAGAGCTTCGTCACGTCAAGTCTGGGCGGTCTTAGCCCCGAGAGTGACGAGCCGATGGTCGAGTGTACGGGTGTGCAATCGCGGCATCGGCCGGCAATCGAAGTGTCCCCCGTGCCGTCGCACAAGCCACAACAAAGCGACAAGGGCCGCGGGACCAAGACTCACTCCCTTCGTCCCTCTTCGCAGCATGCATCTAAGGCAGCCCCTTCTGTGGCATCGCGAGGACCTGTTCGAGAGTTCCCGAAGATGAGGGAACAGCGGGATGTGGCGGTGCAGTCCCCATCTCAGGCTAGGGACGTGGGGGAGGTGCTCTGTCAGAGGTGCATGGCGCTCGAGAGGACATCGCTTTACACCAAAGGTGCGTATGCGTTTGCCATCCCTTTGTCCCCTGCTTACCAAACCCGTTTGTGTGCCCTGCGTCGTCTCAGGCATGTTCGGATCGATCGAAGAGAAACCAACGGAAGCCGCATACTGCTCACCCGTTCAATCGAAGATCGAACCGGGCCGCAGCCACCACCAACATACTACTGGCGACATTCAGTATCGAGAGGAGGAGGACAGACACATGGCCTTCCGATACAGCAACGGGTTTCCTGTGGGACACCACGTACAAGCCGACGAGCACCACAGCAAGCCCATGTCGGCCCTGGAGGCTGCCTTTGTGCCTCTGGACGGCTCCGAGAGCTTCCGCAGACACAAACAAGACCCACACTATGCGGAGCGCCCACATATGAAATCTTTGAAGCCGCGAGTGTACCCCGAAGCCTCTCGCCTTCGGCTCGTCGAAAGACAGTCACGAAGAAGTCAGGACCGGCAGATGCAACAAGGGCTTGGGGAGGCATGCGAGAGGGCCAAAGATCCACCACGTGGCATTTCGTCGCCAAAACAGCCGCACAAGAGACTCGCGGCTCAGGAAAGCGGGTATTGCCCATCCGCTCAGCGCAGAGAGCATCAGCATGAAGAGTCCCTTGGCGACTTCCCTCGTCCGCAGATGCCTTATGAGCGTAGCCTGCCAGGAGAGAGACAGGAAGGGAGAGACAGCCGTGTTGTTGAGCTGGACAACAGGCGGGGCGGTCCAGGAAGAGACAATGACTCCGCTGCGCCATACCGGTGTGATTCGAGCATGGATGGAGCTGGATGGCCTCGCCGTCCCTACTCGCGTGTTCCCATCGCAAGAGCACCCTTCATGCCACAGCGAGAGGTTTTTATTGCGTTCATGGCGGACCGCCATGTGCATTCATTAGAAATTGCTTTGTGTATTGTATGAATCTGTAGGTGTCACACTGTCGGTCCGCTTATGACAGGCCATGTCCGCCACGCTACGGCTTGAGCAGGGAGGCACAGCTGGATCAATGGAGGCGTCAAGGACCAACAAGACCGCAGCGCGCCGTGCAGGAGCACAACAATCAACCAACTGTGATTCAACAGAGAGATCAATGGCGTGTCCCCCCACAGCGGCACAAAGATGACAGGGCGGATGGCTCCACGAGAACGCACGTAACAATGTCTTCTCATGGTGCCGACGAGCTGCGGAGACAGAGACTTCAGGGCTTTACGAGCATCCAGTACGCAGAGATGAAGAGAGAGGAGGAGACACGGCCCTCCAGGACGGAGGAGCGGCTCAGGAGCGACATTGGTGTGCTGGACGAGGCATTCACCTCATGGATCAAGAGGTCAGCATGCACAAAACGAAGACATATAGAAACGAAGGATGAGACACGCACCCGCCCTGTGTGCAGGCCGGCCCTGACGATGTCAGAGGGGGACCGACGCAGCACCCGGTCCACGACTGCAGACACAGCAGCACAGACCGATGAGTCGAGCATCGCATACCAAGAACAGCCCAGCAGGCCCTCGCCCCTCCCTCATTATGCCTTCGTCAAGCTGGATCCATACGTCTCCCCGCAGCCAGCAGCTCGCCTAGCCTATAAACCACCCAAGAAAGAAGGCTTTGAGTCGCCACCGCGCTCACCGTGCTTCGGCATCCGGAAGTCTGGCTGCAGCGAGGAGAGCAGAAAGGGACGGCCACTGCCATCAGCTCACAAGGACGCCACTCTGGCGGGCCGCATTGTGCGAATTAATCGCAAGGCGCCCGTGAGCAATGGCGGGCGCAACGACACGAGTGTGTGTGGATATGAGGAGCGAGAGACGGTGTGGACTTTCAGAGGCCGGAAAATGGACGTGAATGAGAGGACAGTGCCGCCGTGTGGCGAGAAGGGTGATGGATGGGTGACGTAATGATGGACGGATCTTCGGCTGAGATACAGATTGATGCGATGTTTCGTGAATGTCGATCGAGGTTGCAAAGTCTCATGGTGCACACGAGTCATACATCCATCATCAATTGGGGCCTGCAAGAACTCGTACTCCGCTGCAGGCCACAATGCCCACACAGACGGACGGATATGTGTGTGTATCAATCGCATGCACGACGTGGCACGCCCCTATATTGTTTTGTCTGCCCTCTTCTGACCTGCCAGAACGGCCGTGTGGCACTCGAAGTCGCAGAGGTACAACCCTTCATCCAGCCTCACTGACCGTCTTGCGATGGGACCATGCCCTCGTCGACCCACGGCAGCTCATCAAACGCAATCCACCTGCAGCAATCGAAACCCTCTCCTCATCTCGTCTCATCCTCTTGTGTCTCACGTCTTTGTCTCGCCATCGAATATGTCGATGCGGTTGAGTCCACCGAAATCCGACTCTGCACGAAGGAAAACCCGAGTACAAGCAGGCAGAGTAGTGAGCGACGTGTGGTGTGATGGGCTGGCTGGGGGTGGCTGCATGTTATGTGTTGGGTTCGGGTAGACAGGCCATCGTGAGTGGTAGATGGTTTGAATCGCTGCTGGTCTGTCTGTCTGTCTCAAGTGCGTACGTAACAGTTGGCCTGGCTGCCTGCCTGCCTGGCTGGCTGCGTGTGTAAGAGAGTTGCGGGGCGGAAGGTATTCGTGAAGTGGCTGGTATTGATGATCTGATCGATGAATGCGACTCTGGCTCCCGTGGGTGTTGGCATTGGCTGGTTCCGAGGACGTCTCAGACGGCGTCCGCGGCGACCAACGAGACAGCCAAGCCGTGTCGCATACTTGCGTACAGACCGTTGACATCGACATTGACGCTGAATCGTGTCAAAACCGTCAAGATCACGCGCACACACATAGACACGGACAGGTGGATGCAAGGTAGCTACTGTTCATTTACAATGAGGGTACGACTCCGCTTGGCTGGCTGCGATAGTGACCAGCCCACCCCACCCGCATGTGCTGCCTTCCTCCGCCGGGCTCAGCTGCTGCAGGAAAGGCATGGACATCCCATGACAGAGCAATCCTCCATCTGGTCAGCTCAGCTGAGCTGTTTTCGCTGAGAACCGACCCACTCACCGATTGGATCTCTTTATCTTGGTGCCGCTGTACCCGTGGTTGCCGCTCAGAGATGACTGCACAACACGGCTGGACACAACGGACAGACAGACAGACAGACAGACAGACAGACCTGTGGGTGCCTGTCTGAGCGCATGGTTGGCGTGATGTACCGTGAGAAGAATGTGGTGATTTTGGTCTGTGTGGCGTCGGCTTGCGAGTCATCCTTCGGCAGCGTCCTGCAGTGGAGAGAAGATGAACAGCAGGCAGACAAGGATGTGCAAGTGTCGTGTGCACCAGTGCATGGGGTCGCTGCGAAGTATGCTGCACAGAACACACACACACACACACACACATGGCACACCGAGAGCTAGACAGACGGCGTCTTCCTATTGTGTCGCCCTACCCAGTCACAGTGAAGAATTTGGAGAGGGCTTGGTGGCGGGTGCGTCGAGTGGGTTTGCCGAAGACCTTGCTGCACGGCAGCGGCTTCCCGCACAGATGATCGTCTATGTCCTTGTTCGTGTAGCCGTCCATGCCTTCATACTCGTCACCCTCAGCGCTCTCTATCTCTGCCTCCACCCCCCTCTCCCTCAGCTGCTCCCTCTCTTTGGCCTTGCTCTCGGCGATGGCCTGCCGCTCCTCATACCACTTCTGCTCGATCAGCTTATGGTGGTCCCACAGGAGAATGTCGAAGCGGGCGTTGTCCTCGAATATGTCCATCTGCCACAGCTGGCGGTTGCACACATAGCGACGCCAGAAGGGCGCCACCTGCACAACCACGGCACCAATGGAGCCAATCGAGGGGATGGAGATGCTCTCCTGTGTGTCTGTACCTCCTGGTGTCGGTCTACGGGCACAATCTGGTCGTCCGCCTTGCGATCCATCACCCCAAGCACACTGATGTCGGCATACTTGCTCTGGTCGTACGACCCATCGTCGAAAGGGTCCTCATCCAGAAAACTCGCCCCACCATACAAAATAGCCTCACTGCAACCGGCACACAGACAATCGTGGAATGCATCCCTCCCTGTGTGTGCATGGGTGCGGTGCGTACCTGCCCGTCCACACGGCAGCTGCGAATGCCCCTGGCGGCGGCTCGTACGCGGCACGGGGCTCGTACGTCGAGGATTGGGGGGTCAGGCCGGGGTGGGGTGGGGTCGCACACATCTTCTGAGGCTGCGTGGCGAAGGACGGCCTGCTGAATCGGCCAGTTTTGGTGTCGAAGATGACCGTCTTGACGCCGCCGTACATGCAGAAGTCATGGTTCTGGTTGACTCCATATGGCAGCATGATGACGATCTTGTCACCTGCAGTTAAGACAGAGAAACACCTTGATCTGATCGAGAGATGCATGTAAATCACCCCACCCACCCGCCAGCACAGCTGTGTGGCGAGCGAATTCGCCCGCCAGAGTGGGATATGGCCGGACGGCCTCGTACCGCTTGTCCGTCATGTGCACATCCTCCAAATAAGCGCCAACACCCCCTGACAGGACAAAAGCGACTACACACGTGTGTTTCCCACCATCGGGGAACACACTCACCATCGACTGCCGGCCTGTTGCCGGCAGCAATCCATGGGAGGCCATCGAACTCAATCCACCTGGACCGAGACCGAGAGGATGCGACGGGGGGAGGTGAAGTGAAATGAAGTGAAGTGGCTTGACGGCTCACGCCCGTACGTTTTGGTGTTGCCGTCGAGTATGTCGAGGCCCGCATCGAAATACCTGGCCCGATGCAGGCCCTCGAAACGCGCGCCTGCATCGTTCAAACCGACCATCACACCAATGCTCATCAGGAAGTTGGTTCGGCTTACCCTCTTGGAGTCCGCCGATGATGAAGACGTAGCGATCCTTGACGAGGGTGGCCGTGTGATTCAGACGGCCGTCCGGTCCCTCACCAAACACAGGGTCACTCCTAGCCAGGAGGAAAAGAAAAAAAAGACAAGGTGGGGCCCCACCCGACTAGATATCTCGTGTGCGGTTGCATACCCGTCCAATGACCATGTCGCTGCATCAGCAATCGTCGACATCGGCATGACATCATTAGCCCACCTCATGTCGTCCGGGTCGAGAAAGTCGGCTCGGCCACCGAAGATGAAGACGTAGCCTTCGGGGTGCTCAGTCGACCGGATGGGCAGAAACGTGGAAGTAAAGTAGTAGCGCCTGCGCCTGGAACAAGAATGGCAAGCCATGCACACACATGGACACTGGAGGACCACCTTATGACTGCTGGGTTCACCTCTTGAGCCGCAGAGTGGTCTTCTGTTTCTTCGGCACACCGTTCTCCTGTCCCCTCAGCTCACGCTTGGAAACCCACTGGTAGCGATACTCGATCTCACGCTCACTCTCACTCGCCCCCTCTGCCCCACCTGCCCCCTCGCCCTCCTGCTCCTTCTCTTCCTTGCTGATCTCCAACACGCCCCACATCTGCTCACGGGGCGTGCCGTTGTCCGAAGACAGAGGCCCGCCGCACGCGAAGTATCTGTGCGGGAGGTGGGGCTGCGATGAGGCTGTGGGGGTGTCGGGTGAGGGGATGTGGATGGATGTGAGGGTGAGTGAGTCCGATGCGTATGGGGGCGTGCCGCGGACCTCACACTCCTGCCAGCTGTACTTGCCGCTCGACAGCAGCGACTTGACTGACACACTGACACACAGACGGAGGAACACATAAGATGGTGTGACGTGAGTGTCCGTGTGTGTTGTGAGGGTACCGCCAAGGTCGTTCTTGTAGTTGCCGTCACCAATCACACCACCTGCAATGGACCAACGCACCGCCAGCCACAATGAGTTACCACACCCTCCCAGGAGCATGCACCAACCCCCCGTGTTTCTCCATGACTCACCGAACACATAGAGATATTTCCCGCAGATGAAGAGTGAGGGTCGGCTCCGCGCCATCTCGAGCCGCTCTTCCATGCACTTGGCCTTGCCCCACCGCAGCACACCCACACCACCGCCACCCGTGCCCAGCGGCTCGATTTTCTTGCCGCGGCAGTACGCCTCTCGGTACTGATTATCGGGTAGTAGCGTGTACGTGTCGGTGTGTGCGGATGAGCATGCGGATTGGACGGCATTTGAGGTGGGCGAGGGGCAGTGTGGTGGGGGGAAATGGGCGGCGCTTTCGATGAGTCTGATGACAACAGACAAGCAAAACAACGCCATTTACAATGCGTTCTTCCCTCTCTGTGCATCGCATCATCGTTGCGTACCTCGGTCTGGCCCATTGAGCAGCTCTCTGCCGTCGAGGAACGGAAACACGAAGGAAGCAGCGTCAGCCAGCTGCGGCGTCTCGCTGGCTTCTTCCATCACTCAAACTTCGCGTGTGGTATTGATGTGTAACGATGCGACGGAGGCTCAATGTGGAAAACGGCCTTTGCACAGCAATGCAGCTTCTTCCGTTTACATTTTTGCGAGCTCAAGATCTGGAGGGTCCGGCGGGCGCAGCATGAATGGCGCAGCAGCATCGGCGTCATCTGCTGCAGGTAGGCTGATTGACTGATGGAGTGGGAGGGAGGGAATCCTTGTGTGGAAATAAGGTGCGGATGTGTGCGTTCGTTTGGTCAGGTAGTGGTGATATCAATGTGTTTCGATTCATCAATCGCAGCGGCACAGAAGAAGCTGGGCAGGCGGTGAGCCCTGATGCAGCCACAAAACCCAAAGATGCGTCAGGGCTCACATGCTCCCCTGATGTCACGTGTGCCCTCTGCAGATGTACGCTCGTGAGGTGGAGCAGCTGTGGCAGTTCCAGGACAAGCTGGCTGCACTGCAGTCGCAGGTGAGAGGACATGGACGGCAGGCAGAGAGGGAGGGAGGGAGATGGGGGTGGTGTCATATGAGTCGTGTGTGCGGTGTATGTGCTGCAGGCGGCTGATTGTGTCAGATACCTTGTTGAGAAGGTCAGCCAGTCAAGGCATAGCTTTGGAGCCCTCACATGCTTTGGATGTGTGTGTTGTGCGTGTGTGTGTAGGGGTCTGTTGGTGGGACTCGCATGCCGATACTGAAGGGTGCCGTCGAGGGCATATCCGATGCACTGGACGACCTGTAGGCCGAGTACAAGCGACTGGATGGCCTAGCGCTGGTTCGTAGTACACATACACGCATCGTCCGTCCGTCGACTCATGAATGAGTGAGGCTTTCCCTGTCTGTGTGTGTGATCAGCTTGAGGGCCATTTCAAGACCTTCAGGTTCATCGGCCAGGCCGACGCCGATGCCAAGAAGAGTCACACGACCATCAATCCACACAAGAAGGTACGTCGCACGAATGATGGCGACGCTTTCCGGATGGTCAGATCTACGATGTGCCATGTGTTCAGGATGAGGCTGGTGCCAAGCGCCGCCGCGTTGACGACGGGGGTATCGTGCCACCTGACGCTGCAGCCTCGCCACCACCACGCCTGCACACCATTCCCATGGATGTCCTCAGCTGCACCCTGCTTCCCCTCATCGGTGGAAGACGCCTGCTGGCCAGCACTATTGCCCTCTGTCGCACATCCAAGGCGGTCGGCAGCGCAGTCGCGGACGCCATCGTGCCAGAAATCGACAGACTCATCCACAAGGAGGCCCTCACCGGCATCATCGACTACCGGCCGTTGCGAGAGTCGGCCGACGCTCGTCGGCCATCGCAGCTGATTCGGCTGCGCTACGTGCTGGTGAATGGGGGCAGCAAGTGGAGGGGCAATGCGCTGGTGCTTCTCCTGGCCAAACACGGTGGCTACGTGCAGCAGCTGCCCATTCAGCTGGCGGGTGAGGACCTGCAGAACATGGGCAGCAAGGCCGTCTTCAACAGCCGGCCGGCCAGCATTCGGCAGTATGGCCTCTACAGCCATTTGCTGAGTGACGAGCTGCGGCTGAACGCGAGTGGCCAAGGGGCAGGACAGGCTGGGCGAGCGTGAGGTGACGGTGTATACACGAGTGACGGTACCGGACGAGTATGAGGAGCGATTCGAGGCAGACGACCCAGCATGCAGATGTAAGAACGTTGAGGGCAAATCACCATGAAGAAGGGCAGATTGACTTAGTTCGGGTTCTCCCGTTGTTCGTGCGTCTGCAGACAAAGGTCGCCAGTACGAGAGATTCCGAGAACTGGTCACCGTCAAGTACGCGCTGATTCACAACGTGCAACGCGTCGTGTTTTCCGCCTCTTCCTGCACGTCACGTTCAGGATCGTCGCAGGATCGAGAATCTTGATCTTCGTCAAGTGTCGTCTTCTCGGTGGTACACACAGTACACACGAGAAACCAGGTCTCCCGAAGGCCATCAACACAGGTAAACACGAATACGGAAGGAGAGGGAATGAAACAAACCACACCACACCCATGTGGCATGGCATGGTGTGCGTCATCCATCGTGTCGCACCGGTGTTCAGGTGTGTCTGCGCGTTCGGCCACGGAGCAGCAACCCACATACCAGATCTTCTACAAGATTCAAGGTCACACACATAGATCCTCATACACCACGCCTACTGGAGGATACTTACTTCCTGTGTCTCTCTTTCCTTCATGCAGGGGCGACCAGAACACTGGACGTGGCGCCGGCTGACACGATCGAGGACGTCAAGGCCAGGATTCAGGCCAAGGAGGGCATCCCCATTGACGAACAGCGCCTCATCTTCCAATGCAGGCAGCTGGAGGACAGCCGCACTGTGTCGGACTGCAACATCGAGAAGGAGAGCACACTCCACGTGGTGCTGCGTCTGGGGTGGTGAGGAGTGCAGACATCACTTGCCGCTCCATTGAGACGCGCGCCCATACACGTGTGGGTTCGTTTCTTTTGTCTTTTTTTCCAGCGGTCTTCCCTCATGTATTCCGTTGCTTGTGTGGCCCACCGACACCATCGCGAGTGGCAAGGCGGAGATCAAGGACAAGGGTGGCGGCCCCATCGAGAACCAGTGCCTCATCTTCGGAGACAGGCAGCTGAAGGACAGCCATACCATCGCAGGATACGACATCGGGCGAGGTGCGGAGGTCGTCTGCGAAGGTAAGGTGGAGACAGGCATCAGTACATACATGGCATGCGGTAAATGTGTGTGCGCGCAGTGAGACTTTGACGGAGGTGACGGCCGCGACGCAGACGAGTGGGGGCGCGCGAGTGTGTCAGGCCTGACTTCCATCGTGTCGGTGCGTTGGTGTTGTGTTCTACATCCACGCGAATGATGCGATGCGCACACACATCTGCTGCCGGCTCCTGATTGCATGGCCATGCAGCCCGGGAGATCAGCCCTGTCTGCATGCAGCTGTGTGTGGGTCTGGGTGTGTGTGGGTGTGTTGGCAATCGTGGGTGTCTGTGCGTACGTCTTCCTTCCTTGACACGAACCGTGGACCAGTGAGGTGTGTACATATATATGATACAGACGACTGATGGATTCATCGCATATTACATGAATGCCATGTATGTCTGGCACGACGCTCCAAGAGACAATGGCGTCATACAATGCATAAGTCGACACACAGATCGACCGACCGACTACAGGCTCGGATACAGAGGCGGCTTCTCGATATTCAGAAACGTCACAGCTACCTGGCACACCAAAGTAAGGACAACAGGGGAGATATCGATCAGCCTGTTGGCTTTCTCCCTCCCTCTTTGGCTCACGCACCTGCATGGCGTGGCTCCCATACTTGGCGCTGATTGTCCGGTCCTGGGATGCCCACTGCTCGAACGCAGCACGATCCAGGTACTACAGAGAGAGACCCATACAGGCACATCATTCTCCTCCTCTGCCATGTTTGTCTCCCGTCCGCCTTGCCTCGTTTGCCTACCCCAGTTCGCAAGGGGTCGTATCGATCAAATGAGCGCTCGGTCGCCTCCCTGAATTTGCTGAGGTTCTTCTTGGCGAAGTCCTGTATCTGTCTCGACGAGGGCTTGCCGTCAGACGACCCATGAGAAGACGAACGTAGCTTCTCAGCCAGAAACCTGCACGAAGGGAGGGACGACACAGGGGAAGTGCGTGTGCATGTCAGCAAGGGGGTGGGTGAGGGAGGGGAGTCACCTGAAGGCCGCCAGCCAGCTTGCCTGCAGGATGTCCACCAGATCGGCCTTCGATATCCGCCCGTCCTTGCGCGTGTCATACGCCTGGAACGTCACTGACACAATACCATGCACACACAACAGACGACACTCTGTGCCTCAATCAACTCCGTCTGTGCAGTGGCTGCCTACGGTCAATCTTCTGCGGTTGGCTGTCGCTTGTCAGGATGGACACGCCTTTGACGAACTCTTCTTCATCCACCGCAGAACTTGCATCCCTGTCGAACAGGCTGAACAGCCGCTCGCCCAAGGGAGTCTCACGCAACCGCCGCAGACCCAGATCTTCCTGATGCACAAACATTCAAAAGGCAAGAGAGAGATCTCGTTCGTGTGTGATGGGAGGATGCACCCATCCGCCCACCAGGATGGACAGTGCTGCGTTGAAGGTGGGCTTGTCGAGTTTGCCGTCCCGGTTGCAGTGTTGTCTGAATCCTCTGCGGACTCTCTCGCTGGTGATGTCGCTCACCAGCTTGATCTCGGTCTCGGAGCCTGCTGACGTCACAGTGGCTGGACCGCCGCCTGAGCTGCTGCTCCTGTTGCCCATGGTGGACACTCGGCGAGCGTTTCGAAGAATTCAGGAAAAGCTCGCAAACATTGCGAGCTAAGAAAGAAGATGCCGGAAAAGGAGGAAATGCAGAGGCGTTGCTAGGCCTTTGTGAAAGGTGCTGCTGATCTGCGAGAGTCTCTTGTACATCATCTTTTGCTGTGGTCATGCGTCACCAGAGCATCCTGCGAACAGCGTCGGCTGGCCGCCGTCGATTTGCCGCCCCGCCCCCCCCCTCCCTGCTCAGCGACAGACTCCCCTTCACCACACACATCCGGCACCTATCGCACTGCTCCAGACAGAGACATCCGGCCTCTCTGCAGCCAGCAACCCTGTTCGTCATCGACCGGGACGCCTACAGGAGTGCTGTGCGGCACTTCTCGAGCGAGTCGAAGGATGAAGCCAAGGCCGATGCCGACAAGGCGACAGAACAGCCCGACACGACACCGGGGAAGGAGTCTGGTGGCGATGCTGCGGCTGCATCCGACACGCAGTCGGCTTCGTCCGAGCCCCCGATCACGCCTCTGAATGCGGTGAGCGGCGAGAATGGTGTGGAGCCTGCGAAGGAGGCTGCCACGGCTGCCGCCGATGGCGACAAGGATGTGGTGGAGAAGGCCAGGGGGCGTGTGAGTGAGCGGAAGGGCATGAAGCCCTCAGAGATGGTGCAGTACCTGGACCAGTACATCATCGGGCAGAAAGACGCCAAGAGGGCAGTGGCTAACGCACTGCGTAAGGGAGGGAGGGGGGGAGGGGGGAGAACGCATGTAGGCACATGCGTATCAATTTGTTGTGTCTGTCATTATCTGTGTAGGGAATCGTTGGCGGCGTCAGCAGCTGAAGGATTCAGAAATGAAGGACGGTAAGCCATAACCACACAGAAAGAAGGATTCCATGTTGTGGACGTGTGCGCGTGCGCTGCTCGATCAGACATCATGCCCAAGAACATCCTCATGATCGGACCCACCGGCTGCGGCAAGACAGAGGTACGCACACAGCCACACAACACACCCCACAGGCACCAGATTACTCCTTGGCCCATTCGTGTCGTCAGATTGCGCGTCGTCTGTCCAAGTTGGTGGATGCGCCGTTCATCAAGGTGGAGGCGACCAAGTTCACCGAGGTGGGCTTCCACGGCCGCGACGTGGACCAGATCCTGAGGGACCTGGTGGAGCTGGCCATCAAGAGGCAAAGGCAGCGGCTCGAGGAGGAGCTCAAGCCACAGGCAGAAGAGGCCGCCGAGAAGAAGATACTCGAGGCGCTGCTCGGAAAGATCGGGGTACGTACGTGGGAGGGTGTGCGCGACGACATGGGGAGGAGGGTCATTTGGGGTCACATGTTGTGCTGGGTGCGTTCAGAATTCTGACCGTCAGAGTTGGCTTGACCACCTGAGGAATGTGAGCAAAGAAGCGGCAGGGGAGGGAGATGGGAGGTACTCATGGCGGTGGTGGTGGTTGACAATGTGTGTTCAGGGTCACCTGGACGACCAGATGATCCAAGTTGAGGTGCCAATATCGCCACCAAACTCATTCCCGAGTATGCATGAGGACACACGTATACCTGCCGCCCAATGAGCTCCCGCTGATGTGTGTGCATCTGTGGGTGGTGTGTGACTCGTGCAGTGGGTGGTTCGGGCAGCGGCATGCCGCAGGCCGTTGGCTTCGGTGTTGACGTGTCCGACATCATCCAGGACTACATCACACAAAGGCAGGGCAACATCAAGGCCATCAAGGTCGTCACACCCACCGGTGGGTAGCAGGAGTACGACAGACACCCACAGATACTCCCATGTTCTACGTGGATGTATGTGTGTGTGTGTGCAGGTGGTGGGAGCAGCAAGAAGCCCACCGAGAAGAAGCAGATGGCCATCAAGGAGGCCAAGACCAAACTCGTCCAAATCGAACTCGACAAAATGATCAACCAGGTGCGGTGCGCATCAGTAACTAACTCCCCAGCATGGTATGGTGCGACCTGTCTTGGTGTGCGTTGACCATTCACCAACAGGACATGGTTTTGCAGAAGGCGATAGAGGCCGTCGAGCAGGAGGGCATTGTGTTCATAGACGAGATCGACAAGATCTGCACCAAATCGGTCAGCCACCTGCATGTGATCGATCAACTCCATCCGTTCTTCCATCCACCTCTCTCTCCCCCGTTTGCAGGGTGGGTATCGTGGCCCCGATGCATCCTCAGAGGGCGTGCAGCGAGACCTCCTGCCACTCATTGAGGGATCATCAATACCGACTCGATATGGTCAGTCAGCCGACACATGCACACCAAGACAGAAGTGGAGACATCCCGCAAACGACGTATGTGTGGATTCTCATGTGCGTGTGCAGGCAGCGTCAAGACGGACTACATTCTGTTCATAGCGAGCGGTGCCTTCCACTCGGTGAAGCCGAGCGATATGCTGGCCGAGCTGCAGGGGCGGCTGCCCGTGAGAGTGGAGCTCAAGCCGCTCACAGAGGAGGACTTTGTCAAGATTCTCAAGGAGTCACGGAACAACCTCATTGACCAGAACAAAGGTAAAGCAACACACAGATGCGCAGATGTGTGTGCGGATATCTTGTCTCTCTCCCTGTGTGTGCCATCATTATGCAGCGTTGCTTGAGACAGAGGGTGTGGAGGTCGTCTTCGACGAGACAGCGGTGCAGGAAATCGCCAAAGGTACACAGACGAGGGAAATGAGTGCTCGTGGGTGGAGTGAAAGTTGTGTCTCTCATTGGTGGGAGCAGTTGCCGCTGAGGTCAACACGTCGGTCGAGAACATCGGAGCCAGGAGGCTGCACACCATCATCGAGAAGTGAGACACTGCCAGAGAGACGAACAGACAAACGACACGCCGACATGTCTCTCTGTCGCTGTCTTTGCCTGTCAGGATAATGGAGGAGTTCAGCTACAATGCACCAGAGATGGAGTCGGGCAAAAAGTAAGCTTACCCCGACACACACATGCACACGCAAAGACATCATTGATCCCATGGCACCTGGACCTCGGCAGGGTGAGCATCACGGCTGATGTGGTCCGCACTGCTGTTGGTGAGCTGCTCAAGAAGACCGACCTCCACAAATTCATCCTCTGATGAGCCTCCCTCCACCCATCCCATGGCCCTCCCTCCCCCTCCCTCCCTCCTCCCCTCCCCTCCCCCTCCCCCTCCCCTGGGGCGCCATACGGAGCAACGAACGCATCATCTATTTTTCCATCACCAACCTTGTGCTGCGCCACGTCGGTGTGCCTGCCATCATCATCTTCGCCGATTCGTGTGTGTAGAGTAACTAACTGGTGCGGTGCATTACGAATGCGGCAGTGAGTGGGTGGGAGGACAGCTGGTGTGGTCAGGGTATCTATTGCGTCCGGGTGGTGCATGCTAAGCGTGCATGGATCAGTCAGTCGATGTGGTCTGTCAGGCAGACAGGGAGGGAGGCAGGTGTAGTGTTTTGACCAACGGATGGTGGGTGCGATACGGCGGATGCGTTTCGTTTTTGACTCCCAGTGGTGTGCGTCTATCTTTCTGTCTCGCCTGCTTTCGATGATGCTTCAATGCTATGCGGCCCATTGCATGGCTGCCACCGCCAGGCGTGACCATATTATCCTGGCCTGCTGTCTGCGCCAGGTTAGTAAGGTGACGGCGGGCAAGATAAGCCAGCAAGGGCAGCATGGCACACAAAACGTGAGGCCATCAGTACAGTGACTTGTCGATGTCATGCCCTGTCAGCGATTTTCCCATGAGGCAGACAGTCAGCTCTTGGGGACAGATCTCCGCTGTACGTGTGTGTTTGAGGAAATGAAGTCAATCGGGAGCCACCCAAGACCGAAAGCGCACGATCGGATGATGTTATATATGTAGAGAAGATAGAACGTCAGCATGGATAACAGCACGTGTCCCGCCTCAGGCGGGACCACCCACGCACCCCTCCCTTCCAGCGATTCCACCACCAGTCTCATCTTGTGAACACAACACCCCCAAGAGCCGCCGTTGGCAGGGACTTTCCCCGCTCTCTGGGTGTTCTAGAAGGCCTGCACGTCCGTCAGGTGGTCGTAGAACGTCCATCAGCTGCATCCAGCCCGAGCGGTTTTCCTTCCATCGTTCCATTTTCCGTGATCTCGTGAGGCCCCACCGGATCAGCCGCGATGCGTGTGTGGCACTTTGTCGCCGTCCTCCTCTTCTTTGTGGTGTGTTTATTCGGTGAGCAAATCCCCATCCACAAACCACTTCTTCCACCCACCAGAAACCGCACATCCCTCACCGACGACGTATGTGTTGTGTGCGGCTTTCCTGGTCAGAGGAGGTTGGCGCTGAGCAAGGCAGCCGAGAGTTGCAGCGAGGCCGTGGCGGCGGAAGGGGTGGTGGCGGCCGCGGCCGTGGAGGCGGTGGCCGGGGCAGAGGGGGAGGAGGCAGAGGAAGGTACACTCACCCTCACATGCACTATATACCGACACTGCATGCATCCATATCGTCTTGTGCTTCTATCTATCGTCGAGTGACAGAGGTGGAGGTGGTCGTGGTCGAGGAGGCGGTGGGCGAGGTAGGGGCAGGGGAGGCGGGAGCCGATCACGTGGGGGGTCTCGGGGTGGAGGCAGGCGGGGCGGCTCGTTCGGGGGGAGAAGGGGCGGCTCGTTCGGCTCTAGGGGCCGGTCATCTGTGTCGCGCAGCGGCCGACGCTCCTCTGGAGCAGGAAGGAGGTCCAGTTTCAGCTATGGTGCGCTGTGCTGTAGATCATATTATATTAAGTTGTATTTGATTCTTGAGAGTTCTGTTCTCATCGTTGTCGAATGTTGACCCACGTGCATGTTCGTTCGAGAAAACAACACGTTCACAATTTTCTGATGTGTTCTATGTGCGTGCAGGTGGCAGGTCGTCCCCTTCGCGTTCCCGCTCCCGCTCGTCGTCCACAGTCCGCCGACGCCCGTCGAGCACGGGACGGCGACCCAGCCGTACAACCACCTCGAGACGCAGCCCCACAGGTGACACAAGCAATGACGGACACATTTCTCTGTTTCTTAACACGTCAACACGTGTCTCCTTTGGTCAGCGTCCCGTTCTCGCCCTGCCGGTCGGCCCGCCAATCGTCCTGCCAACCGCCCGGCCAGTACTTCGCGCCAGCGCGCTTCCGGCTCGGTGACGGTTCGCAGGCCGACAGGACAGCTCTCCCCCAACACGGGCAGCAGAGCCCGACAGGCTGCCAAGTAACCATAATACGAAGACGCGTAGTGGCCGAGGGTCACACAAATCTACATGTCTCACCTCTGCTTTCCATTCTTTCAGCAACTGGAACCGGGCTCAGCCGCGCCCTCCTCGTACCACTGGCCGCAACCCAGCCTCTCCCAGCGTTCAGCGCGGCAAAGGCAAGGGAGCACGCCCAAGGCCACCCAACGTCGCCAACCGAGGCGGGGGCAGTCGCGGCCGCGGCAAAGGCACAGCTTCTCGCGGCAAGGGATCTCGCGGCGGCAAGGGTTTGCGAGGCAAAGGGTCTCGCGGCAAAGGGTCTCGCGGCGAAGGGGCGCGTGGAGGGAAAGGCAAGGGCGCTCGAGGCAAGGGGTCCGGCAAGGGCCGACGACCTGCGGCCGGAAAAGGCAGCGGCAAGGGAGCTCGCCCATCTGTCGGTGAGGGACGACGACCCGGGGAGAGAGGCAGCGGCAAGGGCACAGCCGGTCGTCGCCCCAGACGCCGTAGCGGCGCTCGTCCATCGCTAGCCAATGTCGCACGGCCTGGTTTCCGGTCTGTATCACGCCGAGTCCGCGCCCGCAGCGGCATCCCACGCTATGTGCAGTACAACAGGCCATTCAGGCGCCCGCATGTCCCGCGCCGCGCCCCCCGGAGAGCAACGAGGAAGATCAGGAGACTGATCCGGAGGGTGCCTCGTGGACAGGTGAGAGGAGAGAGAGACGTGGACGGGTTTTCATGTGTGGTCATTCTTGAATGTGAGTGTCTGCCTGCCTCGAGGCGATCCGTCCGAGGTTTCTCCTGGGGAGGCGCTTCCGTCGGGCTCTTCCCATCCCCCTACGAGTGCGTGGCCGGGGTCTAGGCCTGGGTGTCGGCTTCTACTTCGGATTTGGCTGGTGGTACGTGAGCATGCAGACGTGTGGAGACCACATCTGACCGTCCTTTTTTGTCTCTCTCAGGTACCCCTACATTCCATACTACTGGTGGTATGACCGGTACTACGACCGGTACGACACGGCCGACTACTACGGCAGCCAGTGCCAGCCCGACGCCTACGCATGCACCGATGACATCCACTGCTGCTCGGGCTACTGCCTGCAAGGCTACTGCGAGCCATTCTACCGCGACAACTACCAAGAAGACCCCGCCGAGCCCCCAAGCTCCAGCACCGGCACGGTCACCAATGTCGACGTGGATGTGTCGTACGTCCCGCCCGAAGAGACCCCCTTCGACCCATCATACTACTACGACGCTAAGAGCAACCGAACTGAGCTACCCCCGGCCGGGCAGGCCATCGATCCTGATGAGAGCGAGCTGATAGAGGTCGATGAGGATCCGGAGGGAGAGGTCTACTTTGCCAACGGTGAGAGGGCTGTATTTCCATTGAACGCCATGGGTCATGTCTTCATTCCGGTGCCTGTGTGCAGGCACGTATTATTACGAGGTGGCGAACGTCACGTATTACTGGGTGCCTGATCCGGAAGAGGGCGTCAGCGAGGAGTGGGACGACGGCTACTGGGTCAAAGAGGGACGCGAAGACGTCAAAATACCTCAAGTGCCGGAGTCTTCAGGCGGCAAACTTCGAGAGCTCCTACTCAACCGCACTGGGCCATCCTCTCTCTCATACGGCCGCAATGCGAGTCAACCGTATATCCATGGAACGGGCTCGGTGTTGGGGGGCGAGGTGGTGGCTGCTTCATCTTCACTCGCGCCCTACGAAGCCATGGGTGAGCTGCCCAACGGAGGAGACGACCAGCTGACTTCTGCTCTCAGCGCCACCCTGCTGAAACTACTGGACAGCGGCGAGTGGTTCGACATATGGTGGGCAATGCACAAAGCAAAGATAAAACACGGATCTTCACCTGTCCTTGTGTCTCCTTGACAGGTCGAAATACTTCGACGGCGATCCGCAGATTCCAATGCCCCTTGACGCGGCCATCTACTGGCGGCATGGTGGGGCGGTCGGTGACGGCAGGATGCTGCAAGAAGGGTCCGATGAGGTGTGCCGCGAGACATCGCTGCCCCCAATGGAGGATGCACACGGGACCCTCAAGCGCGTCTTGTCAAGCGGCGAGCTGTGGGTGGGGAGCGACTTCGGGTACCCCCCATTCGCATGGAGATCTGCAAACGGGTGAGTGGATCGATGGAATGGTCCGTACCGAATGTGTCTCGTTGTGAGTGCTGCTCTTCTGTGCTCTGTGCGTGTCCGGGTGGGTGAAGGTCTGTGTGGGGTTTCGAGGTGGACGTGATCAACGCTTTGGCGGACTACCTGAGCGACTTCTACGACATCTCAGTGCGGCCGATCTTCGTCTACCGACCTGTTCACAGAGACTTCTTTGTGGACCTCATTGCACCCCTGTACGCTCACACACGCACACAGAGAGACATGGACACACCTCACGGTTGATGTCTCCATGTGGTGTGTTGGTTGTATTGGTGGCAGGTACGACGACCACTATGACGTCGTGTCTGCCACAGTATTCCCCACCCCTGTGCGCGCTGAGATGGTATCGTTCCCGTGCCCATACATGGCCGGCGACAGGAGTGCACTCATCGCAGGACCAAACGCAACCAAAGGTACCTTGTCTTGTCTTGAAAGGCACACAGAGAGAGACGCGACCAATGTGATGTGATGTCTGGTATTCGATCAGTGCTGAATTCGTCGTCTTTGGAGTTGGAGGCCTTGAATACGGCCAAGATGAAGATCGGCCACACACCTGGCACCAGCAGAGACGAAATCATCGAAGAGCACCTACCCAACGTAAGGATTGCCGACCACACTCACAACAAGACGCACACACACAGAGATACAGAGAGACAGAGACAGAGACATAGACATGCATTGTCGTCCCTCTCTGTCTTTTCCAGGCCACGATTGTCGACCTGTTCTCTCTGGAGGCCATGCTCGACGCCCTCTCCACCGGCCGCACCCACGCCATCCTCTACTCGTACGATGTGATGGCGTTTGTCAACAAGCTCCACCCACACATATGCGACCAGTGCACCATTGTGGAGGTCTTCCCCGACGCGGCGCCCATCGCCTTCGTCACCAGACACTATCCCACGCCACGATGGCTGGCTGACGACGCCGAGACGGAGACAGGGGCCCCTCCTGCTGATGCTCCTGAGGATGCTTCAGGAAAATGAGGGCGGGCGGATGCTGCAGGAGAATGAGGAGATTCTCGTGTAATTGTGGATGGATGGTTGGGTCTTTTTTCTGTTATTGTTAGTCTAGTGTCCACACAGGCCCCCCAGTGTCTGTCTATAATGTGCATAGCATACAGCCATGTGCAGCGCAGCGCAGCCTTGATTTGATAGATAGATACTACATCGGCGACATTTCTTTGTTCAAGCGACCGACACTGACTGACTGACAACTGCTGTCGTTTTCTATTTGTGTGTCTGTGCTGGTGTGGGTCAACACCACACTTCTCTTTTTTCTTTCACCCTTTGTGGCTCCATCCATGCGTCGAGAGGACGCCGGCAGATCTTCGTGTGTGGGTGGGTGGGTGGGTGGGGAGAAAGTGAGGTGGGCAGCCGATATGACACCACACATGCATTCATATGATATGATGGGAGGAACCATCAACGGGCGGATGGACGGGAGAGACACCATTCATTCAAGACAAGAACAAGTTGTTATCCAGACATGACGCGGCGCTCAGCCGGTGTCTTGTGTGCGCATGCAGGCAGACAGGAAGTGTGGGCAACACGCCACGCACACAGACATAGACGCACACGTACAAACAAATATCATCATATCGCCATCAGAGAGGGTCTGTCTGTCTGTCTTTCTGTGTGTGTGTGTGTGCGGGGCATACTGGATTCATGCAGGTATACACCGCACCAAATCACACCATACCATGCACGAGTACGTGTACGTGTGTACCACCCATCAATCACATCGAGCCATGCCATCCACGTCAGTACGATCAATCGATCAAGCAATCAATCAATCAATTACGCTAGCTACCTTCGGCCGTCCATTCATTGCAAAAACCCCCCAACCAACCCACAAACCACCCACTGGCACCCACCCAGCCACCAGGACCTATGAGCATCCCATCCCCCGACCCACCCACATGGCTGCCTGCCTGTGCCTGCCTGTGCCTGCCTGCATACACACACCCCTGCCTGCCTGCCTGCCTGCCTGTGTCCGTCAGCTGTGCCAAGCCAGCCATCATGTAAACAATTACGCAGAGAGACAGAGAGACTGACAGAGGGGGGGTTGGGGGGGAGGGGTGCAGGTGCTGCTCTCTCGCTATCGACCTACGGCAGCCAAGCACGTATGCATCATTCCAGGCAGGCAGGCAGGCAGGCACCGAAGCAGAGAGGGAAGGGGGGAGGCATGGGCCAGGCGCATGTGGCCACCATGTGTCAAATCAACACACCAACCGTACAAAACCGACCGACCGACCGACCGACCGACCGACACGACAGACAGGCGGAGCCACACCAAAATACACCCCCACCCCCCGAGCCGCCCAGCCCACCAAGGCAGGCACCCCACCCACAAACTCGCCTCGTCCCATCCACACACAGGGGGAAAGCAGATGGATCGATCAAAACGACCGTATGTATGTGTGGATCTGGTACGATGTCCGTGTTGTGTGCGTCGCGCATGTCAGTTATGTATGTATGTGTAGGAGATGATCATCTCCTCTTGAGTATCTCGAACACGAGCTCCACGTTGGCGCGACCCATCTCCTCGAAACTCTGAGTCTGCACAGTGAACACAGTGAACACAGCACACGCAGGCGAGGCGCATACAATGCAATGATGTGTGGCGCAATGTGTCATGTTAGTTGTGTCGTGCATGTCGGTCACCTTTGATACGGCGTCGAAGTTTCTGAGTATGAAGTCGAAGCAGCTCTGGCGCAAACTCACGGCCGTGTGCAGATCCGCAGCCTGAGTATTGGCACACACACACACACACACGCACAGAGTGAGCGATGGAGCAGTGGCGTGGATGGTATGAATGTGGGGGCGGAGATCGCATCCTTACCTGCAGTATGGTGGCTGCGTTGTCGATGTCGATGGACGTGAGGATCTTGCGCTCACACAGCTTCTTCAACCTGACATAGTACACACACATATACACACACACAAAAGTAAATTGTGTCGCTCGGTCGCTCGCTACTTTGCCGACCTCTCCACCCCAAACTGATCCGCCGCAACGAAGAGATCCATGGCCATCTGGATAGATGAGACACCACCCACACACAGATCCATGCAGGTGGCTTCCTCGTTGTCGGTTTGTTTGTGGCGTGCAGCCGTTACGTCGAGGGATATGTCGAGTTCGTCGGTGTAGAGGTACTCGAGCAGGCCCAGAAACACACGGTGGGACACATTCTTGATCTCGACCTACACGCACATAAGGGCAGATATTGAGCGCTGTGAATGTGTGTGTGTGTGTGTGTGTGTCTGACAGGCAGGCCGACCGACCGGTTCGCTTTGCCTGGCCTCCCTCATCTCCCCCTGGAACATGGCGCGGAAGTAGCTACACCTGCAGTCACACACACACAGAGTAGGCGCCACGATTCATGGATGCATCTGTGCGCGCGCGCGTGTGTGTGTGTGGTTGTGTACCTGACACACATGAGCTTGTGGGCGTAGACCCTCTTGTCTCCCTCGACGATGAATGTGACGTCGCTGAAGAGGGGCGAGTTGATGTAGTTCTTCAGATCCTGGATCAGAGAACTGCTCGGAATCTCAACATTCACCTCTGCAGGCACCCACATCCACCAATCCATCCATCCGTCCAGTCCAGGATGTGCCTTCCTTTGCTGCCATGCGCTGCGCGCATCGCATACCGTCGACGAGTTTGAATTGTCTGAAGTCGTTGAGTCTGTTTTGCCCGTCGTAGCCCCCAAATATGTACAGACTGTTGTTGTAAACCACACCCGTGTGGCAAAACCTGTCAACACACAACACACACACACACACAGAGGCTGAACATCCAGCCGTCCCTGTGAGAATGGCCTGCCTGCCTCGCTACTCACCTGGGGCATGGTGTGGCCTTCTGGATGGCCTCCTGTGTGGACGCGGCGGTGCGGCCCTGGACAGGCGACAGCGACGTGTTGGGCAGGGCGGGCTTCACCTCGTGCCACTCACGAGTGTCTGCACAACACACACACACACACACACACACGTACCTCCCCCTCCTCGTCACACACATAAGATGCCCCCAGCTGTCCGTCCGTCGGTGGGTACCTAGTCTGAACTCGAAAAGGTCGTTTCTGGCCTGTCCGGTGGAGCCGCCGAAGAGGTGCATCGAGTCGCCGTGGATGACTGCGATGTGCGAGTCGCGGGGGGACGGGGGACCCATCTTGCCTGCACATACAAGACAAGACGTACACACAGAGAGTCACACACAGCCGTTACATCCATCCAAACCCGCAGACGTCGTGTGTGTGTGTGTGTCTTTGTTACCTCCTTGCTCAATCTGAGTCCAAATGCGCTCCTCTGAGAGGATGGGACACAGACAGCGACCGCTGGATGGATGGCCTCTGGACGTTTGTCTTCGCCTGTGTGCATATAATGCGATGCCTACCGAAGTTGTACTCGTAGAAGTCATTAAGGTGTTTGGCCCCGTCGTGCCCCCCGAACACCAGCATCGTGTCCTTCCACACTACAGCAGACGTCCGGTATCGCGCCTGGTGGACACAAGAAAGAAGCACACCACACCAAGTCAACATCCGTACGCCATTCGTTCGCTCCCTCAACAATGATGTGACGTTTGCACTGTCAATGCGCACCGCACCTTGGGCGCCTGGTTTTGGTTCTTGACCTGCACCGGCGCCCACTTCCTCTGGGCTGCAGTGAGTGCACCGAAAGGAAGAAGAAAAACATGACGCAGAAGGCCCTTCCTTCCGTCGGTTGGTGTGAGTTGCTTGTGTTTGTTTGGTTACCAAAGTTGAATTCGTGGAAGTCGCTCCTGTAGTTGCCGTCGTATCCCGCGAACACGTACATGCTGTGGTTGTACTCCACAGCGCTGTGCGAGTGGCGCGGCGACGGAGTGGTGCCCTGACTCTCTATCGGCGTCCACGTCTCGTTCTCTGCACACATTACAGCCACACAGACACACACACACAGTAGATGGGCCACGAGCACTAAGGCATACCTACCGGTGTCGAAGCACCAGAAGTCGTTGATCCGGTTGCTGCCGTCATAGCCCCCAAAGATGTATATGCACTTGTCGTGTGCGACAGCCACGTGCCGGTCGCGCGCAGACGGACCTCGCTCGGCGCCCGACTGAATCTGACTCCACTTGGTCGTTTCTGAAGCAATCGCCGAACCAATCAGTTACCATGATGGGTCGGGCTCATGAGTGAATGTAGTGTCGTCTGGCCGTCCGTACTGAAGTTGTATTTAAGGAAGTCGTTGACGCGGTTGCTGCCGTCATAGCCGCCGAACACGTACATGCACTTGTCAACCACCACCGCCACGTGCAGCGAGCGCTAACCGATCAGACGGCACAGACAGACAGACAGTGGGCGCGAGGAACAAGGAAGCAGTCAGCGTGAGCGTCAACACGGCTGAACAACCGTGCTCTTCTCGTCTGTCTTTGCTTTTGTTCCCTACCTGTCGAGGCGGATTGCCAATGGCCTTGACTGGTGCCCACTGGAAGCATCCCGGCTCATCAGCAGTGTCTGAATAAACACACCAACCGCAACACACACACACACACAGCCATGGTCCTCCTGGCACAGCCATTTGCCTCTGAACACTCTGCTCACCAAGTTCCGTTTCCATGACGCGTCGCTACCCCGCTTTCAACACTTCAAGCTCAACCATCACGCCAACATACACAACACACACGCCCTGCACTCTCTTCCCCTTCCTCCCTTTCTCAGGCTCGCACTCGCAGCTGAGCTCGCACGCCTTTCCTTTTGAAAGAGGCCTCCGCGGGCGACGATGAAGAGTAAGCAGACGGGGGACACCATGGGAAGGGCAGATATGGCGTGATCCACACAGACGCACGAGTCAGGCACTCGCAGACAGATGGGGAAGGTTGCTGTTCTGTGGGGAGGTCACAGAGAGGCGAAGTGACAGGTCACACGACACGTGGCTGCCCTACTTGGTTGCCTGATGCCGCCGTCGCACTGATCATCATCTCGTCGTTGGTCTGCGGTTTGCTGCTTCTGTGTGTGTGTGTGTGCGCTATCAGTCAACATCGCGAACCCCGCCAATGGTCAGCAGAAGACGGTGGAGGTCGAGGATGACAGGAAGCTCCTGCCCTTCTTCGACAAGGTACGGCTGACACACAGACCACAGCACACCACACCACACACAGAGAGATCCCCCTCACCAGCCAGATCTGTGTGTCTGTGTGTGTGTGTGTGTTGTGTGTGTCAGCGCATGGCTGCTGAGGTGCCTGGCGACAGTTTGGGTGACGAGTTCAAGGGCTACATCTTCCGCATCACCGGCGGCAACGACAAGCAGGGCTTCCCCATGATGCAGGGCGTCCTCACCAACACACGAGTCCGCCTGCTCTTCAAGGAGGGCATGCCCTGCTTCCGCCCCAGGCGCAAAGGGCAGTTCAAGCGCAAGTCCGTCCGCGGCTGCATCGTGGGACCCGACATCGGTGTCCTCGCCCTCACCGTGGTCAAGCAGGGCGACAACGACATCCCCGGCCTCACCGACGGCAACCAGCCCCGCCGCCTGGGTCCCAAGCGCGCCAACAAGATCCGCAAGCTCTTTGCGCTGGCCAAGGACGAGGACGTGCGGCCGCACGTCATCCGCCGGACCATCGAGGGCCGCAAGGGCGACAAGGCACCCAAGATCCAGCGGCTCATCACCTCCACCAGGATCTACCGCAAGAAGAAGCGACAGGTGGGTCACACGGGGAGGGCTAGGCCCTTGAAGTCGAGTCTTGCGGTGCGTATGGTGTGTGTGATGTCAGGAGGACAAGATCGCCAAGGTCAAGAAGTCGCGCGAGGCGGCCGCCAAATATAAGGTACGTTCGTAGGGTACTCACTGAACACACATACGCCTATCGAATCGGCCGATCACACAGAAGAGCAGGCCAGGCCATCCACCTCACTTCGTTCGTCTCGTGTGGTGTGTGTGGTGTGGGTATGATGGTGCGCTGCAGGAGGTGTTGGATGCGTGGAAGAAGGCCAAGAAGGAGCACAAGAGGGAGGAGCACGACCAGAAGGCCGCAGCAGCCAAGAAGGAGGCGGCGAAGGCCAAGTGAGGCGAGGCATGCAGCCGGCCAGCCAAGGAGGGGTGCCTCACGCGCCAGGCCATCCACCATCGACCAACCAACCGTCCCTCTGCAGACGGCGATGATGCGTGTGTCTGTGCATGGAATGCGTGTGAGTGTTGGCGTGTGTCGTGCGTGCTGGTCCGCCTCTAAGGGCTCGGTTAGCTGCCTGCCTCAGTGGAGGGTTGGATGCCCTGTGTGCGTGACGTGAAGAGGAGGCGATAGCTAGGCCGGGCCCGGGTGAGGTGGCGGTGGGTGTGACGCACGAGTGCCGTGTGGTGTGTGGTTGGTTGATCCATGTGACTTGGACACACTCAATCATTTTGAAGTGACACAGGAGTCCACTGAAGTCCTCAAACGTACGGTAGAGAACCCACCAATGCGCAGACAATGGTCAGGACCGTGCAGATCTGTCCTCGCTAACATATCAGGGAGGTGTAGCACAATCAATCAACCGCTCTCTGGATGAACGATTCAATGCGGGTTCGATCCCGCCGCCTTCCTCTTATGATGCGAGCAATTCCAGGGTAGCGCCAGTTCTTCCCACGTCTTCATTCTGCAGCAGATCGCCCGCGAAGGGCTCCTCTTCGCTAATCGTCAACGAACGAACGACGCTAGCAAATGCGAGCTGTGGACCGGGAGAGAACGCAGAGGGAAGGACAGAGGCCATGGGGCAGCTGGGGCAGCTGTGCTCTACCCAGATCTTTCAACCATGCCGGACACGCCGGCAGCAAAGGATCTCGACGAGAGGCCTCCTCCCGAAACGCGGCAGGCGGCGCTTGACGACGCAGTGATCCTCGCCGAACGATGCTCATGGATCTGCGTGGCGATGCTGCTTCTTTCTCTCTGCCTCAACACAGCAACGGTGGTCCGGCCATTCCCCGAGAGATACGCACCCACCCTGCTGCAAGTGCCTGGCTTCAAAGAATTGATCTTCGTCAAGTGAGCAATCCACACAACACATATATGCAGTCAGCCATCGTTTCTCCGCACTTGGTGTCTGGCTTGCTGCTCAGGGTGTTCGCGATGGCCGGTGGGCTATGTGTCGGCCTTACTCTAGCCCTTCTGGTAGACGCGGCATGAGGATGTGTATCCAGCAGACACACGTCTGTGTCGACATGAGGATGTGTATCCAGCAGACACACGTCTGTGTCCCCTTGTTTGTCTATGCAGGTCCGCCGCCAGCTGTGCGCTCTTGGCTATACGGTGACGAAGCTCTCCTCGCTGCTCCACCGGTGCACACCACGACAGCAGCAGCAGCAAGTGCTGCCGTCCACCCCCAGCACACGATCCCCCTCCACGCCACACGACCCTCCCTCGCGGGAAGCGCCCGCGCCTCGCAACTTGCGAGTTGACGACTCCTCTATGCAAAGGCTGCTTCGATTGCTCATGGCGGTGTTTGGTGTACTTGCCGCGGTCGGTGGGGTCAATGGCGGCATCATCTCGTTGTTTGGGAGGCCACGGGATGTGAAAAAGCTGTACAGGGATCCCTACATCATGGCCTTCATCGATTGGGATGTGGCGCTGATTGGTCAGTCAACCACTTTAGGGAGCCACGAGGAGGGAAGGAGGGACAACGGTGTCTTCTCTTCTGTGTCTGCAGGCCTGTCTGAGGTTCTCACAGCTTGCCTCTTGTTTGTGCTCTACTCGGCCAGTCGCCGCCACTCGTCCATTCCCAAGCCACCTCCCGCACCGACCCCACACAACACGCCCTGCCCCCCCTCCCCAGCAGAAGATGCGACAGGCAACTGCTCGGCCAATTTTGATCAGCAACCTGATGCTCATGCTCACTCGTTCGTGCACGTGATATCCGTCATTGACCAGGCCAAGCAGCTGCAGGGTCCCTCGATTGGGCAGCACAAGACACCCGGCGGCATCTACGACGTCTACCAGCAGTTTTCGTGGGACAATTTGAGGCATCATGTCGGCCCACCAGGCTTTGTGGGGTTCTCTGCCTTCCTATGGGCCGGCACCCTCACGACGCTGCTCGTCCGCCGCTACGACGACAAGTTTCATGACGGTCAGATGCTTTGCGTGTGTGCCTGAGGGAGCAGATGACGTGTCTGTGTGTGTTTTGCCTGAATGCAGGTCAGATGCAGAAATACGTCACATGGCCACACATTATCATCCTGGTGCTGCTGCTTGCCAACATGAGCCTCTTTCTCTTCGTCACGCTGTTCGCTCGGCCAGCGGCGCTGCGTCGCGTCAAGTGGTGCCTGTGGTGGCCGAACCAGCTCATGTCGGCCTACCGTTTTTACGATCTCATACGGACTTCTGTGAGCGACACGCCCGACGCCCAGATGTGGGGCAGGAATTCGCTGGTCGTTGTTTGGTGGGCCATGTTCGTCAACACACTGGTCAGTGGAGCCAACAGGGAGAGGGAGAACCACACACAGAGACAGACAAGCAGTATGGGGACGGTCGTGCACGTCGATGTGTGTGGGTGCCTGCAGGTCTTTTGCATTCTTATCGGAGATCGGGCGTATGAGCGGTTCAGGACCGAGGAGAATAATAAGCAAGCCGGCGAGCAGCAGAGGACGACCCCGCGATGGCAACGCTTGCTGCTCCGCGCCATGCGTTGTGTGCTGGGGAGGTACATGCCCGCCCGCCCCATGCGCAGATGGATGGCCTATGTCGTCCGCTGCTTCCTCACGGCCGTGGACCTTGTGGCAGACGCCACCACCGCACTCTTGGTGCTGCAGCTGACTAAGTGGAGCTCTCCCGTTGGCTGGGGCATCATGGTGCTGTGCGGGCTGGACGCCGCCTGCTGGTTTGTGAAGCTGGCATACCCTGACAATGGCCCGGCTGTTCGGATCATGTATGCCGTGTTGGGTCTGTGTGGGGAGGCGCCCATCCTGATGGCGTCCATCATCCTGTTCTCGAGCATCAGGACGACAGGGGAGACCCCGTCGACACTCTACTGGGTGCTGCCGGAGAGCGCACACGTCGCGCCAGCCGAGGCGCGAGAGCTGTTTAGCCCTCTCTATTTGGTGATGCAGCTCGTCAGCACTGCCATGTCGATGGTCGTCCACATAGCGGTGCTGATTCATTCTTCCTTGGCGGGCAAGTGGGAGCTGCTCAGGGGCGACACGCACGGGACAAGTGTTAGTGCAGCTTAGCTTAACAGACGGACGATGTGCGTGTGATGTATGTATGTCTTCATTTATGCCTACATACATGTGCTCAAGCAGAGCACGCCAGGCCTACATCCATACACTGGCTGTATGGGAGGGGTAGCCACGCACAGCACAGCGCGTACCGTACATGCGTGGAAATGATGATGTGCTGCTGGTGGTAAGGTCGGGCGGCTGTCGCACTCCCCGGATTTTTGCTTCGGTTTGGCTGGTGCTGTGCTGTCTCTCTGCATGTGTACTCATTTGTACGTGTAGCGACGACACTGTACTGTTTCGCTTGGCAGTTTTTGTCCATGTCCCTCGTTTCTGCCCAGACAGTTAATGTCCCGCCGTGCATGTATCTCTCTCCTCACTTACTTACACACACACGCCTCGACCAGACCTGAATCACACACAGGACACTCACACACACATCTCGTGGATGCATTTACGACTGTACGTACTTAGACAGCACAGTCCACACTACTATATATAGATATACACATTGATACCGTGCATAGGACGGGGGAGGGGTTGAGAGGGGCCACGTGTTGGTAGCACGACCATGAGGCATGCCTCGCGCGTGCTGTGGTTGGACATGATGGAATGGTTGTATGTATGTGCATTATAATTGACTTTCGGGCTTGGCTGCCGCGTTGGTTGTGTGTGGGAGGGGTTGTGTATTTGCCTTCTCAAGAGCTACACGACACAAGACACAAGAAAGTTGCGGCATGAACGAGACGAGTGGCAAACCGTCCCTCGCGCATCCCTGATGACGAAAATTGGCCCAGATTTGGGCTAATCGGGAGGGAAGGAAGAAATTGACGAGGAAAAAGGGATCGACTGCGGCTCTCCGAACCCCAAAATGCTTCGCGTCTGCCGTCCAAGTGCACTACTCGTGGCTTCGAACTGCTGCGTGACCAGCTTGCAGTGGATCCCGGTCCCCACCCCCCACACGCCCACACGCACCGTCCGCTTGTTTGGCACGACTCATTCCGTGCCGCCACTTCCAGGCAATGGTGAGAGCTACCGGCCCATCCCTCCATTCGATGGTCACTGCAAACAAGGGGCCCAGGCGTCCACCACTGGACAAATCTGGCGGCCGAACGGCACTGTTTCAGCTGGCGGCCTAAACCGTAGCGGCTATCGCATCATCACGCTGAATTACAAGCCATATCGCGTCCATCGGCTGGTGGCTGAGACCTTCCTGACGCACGCGAAGGCCATTCTCATCGCTGAGCACGGCGAGGATATGGCGGGGAAGCTGCAAGTGGACCACAAAGATGGCGTGCGAGACAACAATACTGTCTCGAACCTGCAGTGGGTGACGCCGAAGCACCACGCCATCAAGACGGCCTCCACTCTGCCCCGCCCGAGGCCCCTTATCGCCAGCGCCATGCCCCTCAAAGCCCGCTGCCTTCGCACCGGGGAGACACGAGTCTTCCGGTCCATCCGTCACGCATCAGAAGAGCTGCATCTTCCACCAGTTCACGTGAATGAGGTCGCGAGGAGGCGACAGAGGCCAACATGTGGCTGGGCTTTCTACTTTCTGCCCCAGTTGAACTGGCCTGGTGAGCGTTTCCGCTCCGTCCGATTTCTTGCGGACAGCTACGTCGGCAAGCGGCTCCCTATGGTGTCGAATCAAGGCAGAGTGCGCCATAGCAACGGACGGACGACCGAGGGTTACTTGGTGGCGTCGGGGTATCGGAGCGTAGGACTTGCAGGTCGCGAGTACTTGGTGCACCGCTTGTGCGCTGAGGTGTTTCTGCATGAGGAGAAGGCCCGGTGGCTGTCGGAAGGATACGATGAGAGCTATCTGGACGTGGACCACATCGATGGCAATCCATGCAACAATTCCCTGAACAACCTCAGATGGCTGCCGAGGTACACTCTCTGCATTAATCGATGCGTTGACTGAATCCGGACGCCCTGTCGAATGCATGTACATGGGATCAGGGACAAGCACGCGCAAGCCACTGTTCAGCGATTGCGGGCACGCGGCAAGAAATCATGGAGCTGATGTATTGCTCGTGTCTCACGTGTGGGTGAAGGTTGGACATCGATGGCTGCATGTACGTGTGTGAGGACGACTGCATTGCCTTCCATGTGTAATTAAAAAGTGTGAGCATGTAAGAAAGCGACACCGAGTCTATCGAACAGCGACATATGGAAGCACGCAACCATGGATGGATCTAAACGCACTTATGAGGGACCCGAATCTAGCTGGCATCCACGCAAATACGCATGCATAAAATGTCCGTCGCCCTTTACACCAACCACACACACACAAAGAGGGAAACGGCTGCTGACCTCAGTCTCCCTCTTCCATTTCCGACACCTGCCCCGGCAGCGGTGTCCTGACCCCCTCCCCCTCCCCTGCACTGAAGGCAGACAGCGGGTCTATGCGTGCCTTGGACCGCCTGTGGTTCACAGTCAGGGCCCGGCTGGGGCTGCCGCTGCCCTTTGAAGGCTGCCGCTCGAAGTAAGAGTCGTTGGTGTATTCGAGCCGAGGGGCCTGCTCCGTGTGCGGTGGGGCTGGTGACGGCAGGCCGGGCAGGACTGCAGATGGCTGCGGCTGTTGCTGGGGCGGTGTCTCCTCGATGGACCCGCCGCCCTCAGGGCTCGGGCGATCTTGCACCGGGGAGCCGGCGTCCTTGTCTTTGGCCTCCACCTTGCTCTTCTTCTTCTTCTTCTTGCTGGCTGGAAGGGCAAGGGCGGAGGCCAGCTTCTGCTCCTTGTGGGCCTTCTCGGCCTGCTTGCGGACTGCCCTGACGCGATGGTGCAGCTGACTCACCTGCAGACAAACAAGGTTTTGCATCATGTCTCCCCATTTATACGTCCATTTGTATCCTGACCTGTGTCTGCAGCACAAGCAGCATCTTCACTTCATCTTCCTCGCGCTGCTCTTCCTACATACAAGACAAGGAGACGGGGTGCGGACACCTGGCTGGCTGATGGTGTGTCTCTCGCTGTCGCTTGTCTCCTCACCCATGTGAGCGCCTGTCCTTCAGTCAGAAGGTGGTTCAGACGCTTGGCAAACTCACGGGCAGCCTCGATGTCCCCTCCGAATAGCGGTGCGAGCCCGTCTGCCTTCTTGACGGTGTTGTTGGATAACACCTCCCGCTGAACATGCTCCCAGCCCTTCCGCTGATCCAGCTGCATACACACACAAACACATGGCCTGTGCAATCAATCCAGCCTCGCTCTCTCTCATGAGTGACCTTCTTCATGAGGACGTTGAGCGCCTCCGTCTTTGGGTCATAGTCCCACAGCGTCTCGGGCATGTGGTCCTCCTCCGCCTGCGGCTGGAAGGAAGACAGTGGGCCGCCCTCGCCCTCGACGACGCCCGCCTCCACATCCCGCTTGGGCGACTTCTGGTCCATGTCCAGCATGCTGCTGCTGCTCTGCTCGGGGACGTGCGGCCACATGCCGCTGCGATCCTTCTGACAGGCGCGAGACACACACACACAGAGAGAGAGAGAGAGATTAGGGAGCGTGTGGTGTGCGCAGGAGACTACCTTGTAGCCTGCGGCTTCTCTTCGCTTCTTGACGAATGATGTGATGTATCTCCACACGCCCTGAAAGAAATTGATCAGCGCTGACCGGCCGGTGTGCCGCGCCTGCACACACCCACAGAAACACAATGCATTCAGTCGCCTGCGTGCTCCCAATGGCTGGCTGACCTCGATTTCCTCCAGTTTCCTCAGTCGTGTTTGTGTCTCTGTGTGAGCATCGGTGAGGATGGCCACAAACATGTTGACCATCACTAACGCTATCATCAATATCCTGACACACACGACAACCAATGCCATTGCTACTTGCCTGTGTCCTCTCTGTGGGGGTGTGTGTGGCTGACCATGCGGCGAAGAATATCGGTGTGGCAACGGGCGCGAACCGCTTCATGTCTTCATATGGCAGCCCACCACCTACACACATAGACACACCCCATCAACCATCGTGTGCTCTTTTGTCTGTCTGTCTGCATCATCACTGACTGAGTGTCTGCATGAGTGTCGAGAATGACTGTCCCCACGAGTGGAACTCCCTGAGAGTGAATCCGTACAGCCAGTGGGCCGCAAAGGTGAAGCCGAAGACAAAGAGGAGGAAGACCGCCGCGAAGGGGAGGGTATCCTTCATCGACAGCGACAGCACCTCCCACAGGGTGTTCATCGACGGATACATCTGCAGATACTTGAACACCTGATCGGCGCAGCACAGCACAGCACACCACATAGAGCATAGAGGAGACATGGCTGCATCCGGGTGCATCTACTGACTTTGATGAACGCCCAGATGATGTTGAAGGCGGCGAGGTTGGATGTGAAGTTGTAGTGGTCGGCTATGCGGAAGAACTCCTCGCCAAACTCATCCAACACCTGACACACGCACATCCAACAGGTGCCACAGAGACATACCTAGCCGAGCAGTACGAGTGTGTACCTTGGTGAATTTCTGCCTGTCAAATGAGAGGTATGCAAACCAGTAGATCTGGATGGTCAAGTAAATCGACAGATTGGCCAGCTCAATCCAGTTCCACAACGACCTGATCGAGCCCGAACACACATGCATCCCTCCATCCGTGTGTTGTCTCCCTCGGTGTGGCGTTCATGTGTTGGGGGATGGGTACATACAAGAAGTAGGCTTTGAGCCCGAGCGTCCGCATTTCATAGAACTCTATCCACCAGTAGACCACAATATAGCACGTGAACGCCACCTCCAAACACAACCGGAACCAGTCGATCGGCTGACTGCACGTACCACCATGGACAAGACAGAAGAGAAGACAACAAAGCCAAGAAGCAATGTCGTTTCCGTTTTCCCTCCCTTCATTCTGGCCTTCCTACCTGTATGGGAGCAATCTGCAAGGCGTGAAGAGGATGCTCGGCTCGACGCGGCCGCCCGGGCTGATGTCCAGGTGCCACCGCACATACATGGCCAAGTCCACATTGGGGTTATACATCCCTGCCTCCACGCTTATCTGCCACAGAGACACACATACGGGTTCGTTGACTGCCCTCCCACTTCCTCTCTCACTCACAGCGCGTGTGGCGTAGGTTGTCCAAGTGTCGTTGAGCATGAGTGCCAGCTGCCAGGGCACCTCCACGCTCTCAACTGGCATGCCACTACCAGCGTCAGGCAGCACTGACGTATTGTCGCTCGTCAGAGTCAGCAGCCCAATGTCGGTGCCGTTCTCTACCATCGGGCCGAAGATGATGTCCACCACATGTGCAGCACGGCCGTACGATGGACCGTACCCCTGCTCAATGAATACCAATGCCGGCTGGCGCGTGTCGAGGGGTGGTGTGCATATGTGTATGTACCTCTTTGCCCGACACTTTGTTCATGTCTGTCTTGAATGTGTTATTATACTCCTCGCCGAAAAGACTGTCATCCAGATGCTTCGACGTGAACTTGCCCCAGCACGGACGGGCCATCTCTGCCCACACATTGCCAATATGCATTTCTGCATGGTGTTCTTCTCACACAGGTGGGTACCTGAGTTGCCGTCGGGTGTGTTGCAGGTGTCCTCCTTGACCCGCACTTGCCGGAAGCGCACCGGCATGAAGACGGCGTTGTACAGCAGGCCCGTCCGGTTCTCCTTGTTGGTCCACCACGCACTACGCAGAAACGGCGACAGCACCGTGAGGCACCAATCCCACCAATCGCCGTCGTGCGCCACATCTACAAAGGTCTTCTCAAAATTGGCGTTCGGCATTGCCTCCTGCATGCATACAGGCGAAGAACGCACGGCATGCATGGACAAATAGATATACGGATGTGCAAGTGTGATTGTGGCTGGCTGACCAATGCGCTGAGCCCCCGTGCGGCCGCCAGCATCTCATAGGATGACTTGGTAGGCCTTGCCAGCATGGTGATGGCAATAAACAGCCCCAGGAACACGCTGTAGAAGAAGAGCTTGAGGCAGAAGTTTTCGCTGTTCCGCTTGCGGAGCAGGAAGAGCACGCCGCCCAGCGGCACCCCCACCTCAGACGCCGTGGACGCCCTCTGCGGGGGCGTCTCCTCGGCCCTCTTGCCTGCCGTGGGGCTGCCGAAGCTGCCCACCTTGCTCACGCGCCGCTTCTCGTCGTCATCTATAACGGCCTTCTTCTTTTTGCGCCGCGGAGGCGCCTCGCTTTCCGCTCTGTACTGTGTTATGGGTGAGGGAAGCGTCACGGCACCATTTGTACTGTCCATCATGGGGGATTCGCCTTCTGCTGAGACTGGGGAACCCCCACCGCCCCCCTTCAACAGCTCGCACTTCCGATATCATCTGCTGCAAATGCAGCAACAGCAACATCAGCAGCAGCACCCCTTCTCGTACATCTTCGTCGGCCGCCGCGCCTTCTACCTCCTCAGCCTCACAGACGTACTCCAGCTGAGAGCCACCTGCACATGGCTCAGCAAGCTCTTTGGAGCGGCCCAGCTGAGAGATCGGCTCCGTCACTCGCTGGGCTCACAGGCGGGGCTGCGGCGGGTGGTCAACGGGCGGCAAGTGCAGCTGATGCGGTTCGACGATGAGCAGTTCGGCGTGTGTGACCTGCTGGCGGCTGTGTGCTGATGGAGGAGGGGAGCTGGGTGGAGATGGGCGAGGTGATTGAGCTGGGGGTGCAGTGCGGCAACTGTGAGCTGCCCGTCATCCTCACGGCAGATGACATCAACACACACGCCAACAAGACGGTGAGGCACACACAGAGGGGCGGGAGCGAACAGAGAGGCATCATCCCCTCTCTCTCTTTCTGTCTGTGTGTGTGTGTGGTGTAGGCGTATCTGTCGGTTTCCCGTGTGTTGGCGCAGCTCATGGTGGTCGGCCGCCATGTGCGCTTCGGTGTGTACGGCAGCCACCTGTGGATCTTCCGCCATGCCAATGGCAACGGCAGCTGCCTGCGGATCTTCCGCCGTGCCAATGGTGAGGTGCGGGCCCTCGAGGTCCAGCCCGGCTTCCGACTGGACGTCAACCCGCCCCTCCCCGCCCGCCATCTGTATCAGCAGCACCGACTAGAGCATGACCCGCCAGTGCGGAGCGGCATCTCCTACTTTCCCGACATCGACCAATGGGTGTCGATCAACCTGTTCCAGTACGCGTCAGCATCATCATTCGCCAAGCATACGATCCTCGACCACTTCAGCAGCGAGACTCAGCAGATCAATAGCACATCGATAGATCTCAATAGGTAACACACCAATGGAACCAGTGGCGAGAGGGGTGCGTGTGTGATTGTGTGTGTGTGTGTGTGTGTGTGGTTGGTTCAGGCGTGTTGGTGGCGGCCGTCTGGATGGCCTGCTGACGGACTCGCCCCACACACCAGTGGCCGGATGCACCACCACACTCACCTGGGAAGGCCCTACGCGAGATCTGGTGCTCACCGACAGCAGCCAGAACTTCGTCGCGTGGATTAAGATTAGGGATATGGTCGACGGCACCGGTCAGGCCGACAGACAGGCAGCTCTGCTGGTGTCAAGTGTCATCAGTGTTTTCTTTCTGTCATTGTCTGTCTGCAGCGAGGGTCCAGGTCTGGACGATCGAGGCGCCTGTCGGTGGTGAGGGGCGTGCCTTCAAGGACCGCTTCCCCGTCACCACTCAGCTGGCCCGTGTGGCGCTGGAGCGAGCGGCGCCATACGTCTTCGACGGCCAAGTAGAATCATGATGACGGTGGTACGGACACATACAAATAGGCGCCGGATGGACAGCACGACGTGGCTTGTGTTGTGTGTGGTTGTGTGTTGATGTGTCGTGCTAGGTTCCGACGATGGCAGCGATGAGGGCAGTGCAGGTACCAAAGAGGGAGGGAATGCACACAGCACACAAGTGTGTCCCTCCCTGTGCACACGACAGGTGGCGCTGTCTGATTGAGCGGTCCAACTACCACTGGTACGCCACAGAAATGCCACGCGCCAAGCCGATGAATGTCTTCGGTCATCTAATTGCGTTGTGTGTGCGCAGGCCGAATGGTGGTCGGCGTACCGCTCACTCTCTCACTCACTCACTCACTCACTCTGGATCTGCAGGGGTCACCATATGCCTCTGATGAACGCGTCGCGTGAGTTAGGCTATGGCTCTGCTGTTTGTCCGTGCGTCTCTCCCTCCCCCTCTATGTCTGTATGTCTGTCTGTGTGAATGGAGATCTTCTCGTCCTCATGGCTGGCTGCGTGCTCTTCGCTGCTGCAGTGGCCGATTTTGATGTGATGCTTCGGGGTGTGTGACTGTGTTTGGCTGCCTGGCGGATCACTCGCAACCAATGCACGTGTGTGCTGATGGAGACCTCTCTCTCAATGATTGCGTGTGGTGGAGTGTCCAACGGTCCACACCCAGGACGCGGGTCCAGGGTTTCCAAACCCTGCTCCTCTCCAAATTGTTGCAGATCTGGGCACTGAAAAAATTAGTAGTGGTTTCAAAGCCGAGGCACTTTGATGTTGGAGATCTCTTATGAGCCGCTTGCGCAGCCATGACTGGACTGCGCTACTTCATCTACGGCGGATCTTCCTCATCCTGACCCTGGCGTTTGTGTCGCAAGCGCGTCGGATCATCAGTTCATCGCCGAGGCTGCGTGAGGCCTTCGTCAGTCCCTTCGTCCCACCCAGCACCCGAGCATCCCGCTTTTCTCTCAGTGCGACCCCTTCTTCGAGCGCCTTCGCTGAAGTGCCCTCTTCCCCTCGTCTGCGGTACCGTCCTCGCATCATGACAGACACGAACGAGCCGCTGCCGTCGCCCTCACGGCTGTCGCACGAGCTGCGACTGACCAAGCTGACCAAGCTGGAGGAGTCGCTGTTCGAGCTGCTGCTCAATGTGGTCAAAGACCAGGGTCTCGAGACAACACTGCGTGTCGCGGGCGGGTGGGTGCGGGACAAGCTGCTTGGCAAGGACACCGCCTCGCCCGACATCGACATCGCTCTCGACAACATGCTGGGGCTCAAGTTCGCCGAACACGTCAACGAGTGAGTGAGAGAGACGACATTGATAGACAGGACGGAATGACGGAGTGTGTGTGTGTGTGTAGTTGGTTGGCGGCCAAGGGTGAGTCGCCGCACAAGATCGGCGTGATAGCGCGGAACCCCGACCAGTCGAAGCATCTCGAGACGGCGACGGTCAAGCTGATGGGTGTGTCGGTGGACTTTGTCAACCTCCGCACCGAGACCTACACAGAGGACTCCCGAATACCCAAGATCGACATCGGCACGCCAAAGGAAGGTGGGCACACACACAGACAGACAGACAGGCAGACAGGCAGACAGACCGGCGGAAGATGGCTTGGTCGCCTGTGTTGCCAGATGCGGAGCGTCGTGACTTTACGTTCAATGCCCTCTTCTACAACCTGAACGACAAGAAAGTGGAAGACTTCACAGGTGCGTGTGGGGATCGACGGGGGGGCATAGATGTGTGTGAATGGATGGATGGGTGGGTGGCTGCGTGCTTTCTGTCTGGCCGCTCTGCGTGACACTGTGTACGCCGATGAATGACAGGCGGGACGCTTAAGAGTCCCTGCCGTCTATCATTCATCGGGAGGCACCGAGTCACACCGAGCGGCGAGGCGAGAGACTGGCTTTGGGGATGTTATGGGAAGGGGATGACACGGAATCATTCAAAAGGAGCGAGCAGCATGAAAGTTTCACACGCCTACTCCATCCTTGCACTGCGCACTGCTTAAATCACTCTTTGCTTAGCTCAACCCACTTGCATTTGGATCCATTCATTCATTCATTGCTCCAACAAACAACAAACTCCGTCCATGCATTGCATTCGCCGTGTGGATGTCATGTCCACATACATAGGCATAGCACACCCACTGCACGGCACCCAATGATGGCATGCATCGGGTTGAAAAAATACGCCTTCCTCTCGCCTCCACTTCGTCCGTCAGAGAAAGGTACACGCAGCGAGCACACACAATCACATCACGCAATCCATTAAAAGCCGCCCATCCCTTGCGTACAAATATGTACGGGAAGTTTGAGAGGCCGCCCCGCCAAGCCACCAATCAACCAGAAACGAAGTCAGACAGACAGGCGGAGGGGATGCAATACAGGCCAGACAAGACAAGAGCCGGTCAGGTGATGGCGAAGACCTTCTTGAGGGCCACAACCAGCTTCCAGTCGTCCTGGAGGATGACACAAGACACACACCACACGTAAGTACTGTATCTAGCCTGCTTTCTGCTGGGTTTGGTCTACCTACCTTGTTGAGGTCATCCCTGAAGTGTTCCTTCAGGCAGTCAATGGCGTCACGCGTCATGCGCGAATACAGCTGAACAAACAACGCACACACACACAGCTGTGCTGTGCTGTGTGTCGACCGACCTGCGGCCTCACCTCAGCTTACTTACCTTGTTTGTATGGTCGAATTGTTTGCCATATGTAACGCTCGTGTCGCCCACAATCTTGATAGCCACCTCCATCCCTTCGCACATAACAACACATGGCGCAATGCGCATGCAGTTCCTGATGGTACGTTCGTTCGTGTGGTGGGTCGGTACCTTATTGAACTTACCCTTTCTGGCACTGTCGACGGGTTTCTTGTTGTTCTCGATGCTCCCAACTTGACCGATGCGCATGTTCTGACCACACAGCCAGACAGACGTACATTGATTGGCCAGGCCGGTGCGTCAAGCCATCCGATGTTCCCCCTGTCCGCTCTCTGCGTGGCTGGGCTGCTGTTTACCTCCTTATCGGGGACGCACAGGGGCGTGCCGATCTTGAGGATGCCATCCTCAACCACCACACCTGGCGAAGGACACAAAACGAGTGTGTGCAGGCCAAGTCGGGTGGCACTTTCACGTGTGCATGTCTGTCTGACCGAGGACGATGGGGTCCTTCTTGTTGAAGACGAATTGCGGCAGCACCTTGAGCACACAGGGGAACACGGCCACGTTGGACTTCTCCTTTCTGCAGCAGACAGGAGAGCAACACAGCGACACTTTTCAGCATTTGCGTAGGCCTTGACCGGTCCTCACTCAACACACGGCTGAGCTGACCGACCGTTTGTCCTCTTTGAATTTGGCCATGAAGTCGGTGAATTGGTCGAAGAGGTGGTAGATGATCTCCGCCCACATGATACGAACACCCAGGTGCTCAGCCTCCTTACGCGCCTCACTGTCGATCTGATCGACACGACACACAGACAAGGCCGGGCCGCATGTCTTTGCGTCACGCCGACAGACCCAGCCCAGCCCAGCTGACCTTGACGTCGAATGCGAGTATGGTGGCAAATTCGGGGTGCCCCTTCTCCTTCATCACCGATGCCTTCTTGACATCGATCTTGTTGACAGTGCCTTCAGACAGACAGATACACACAGAGACACACATTCGGATAGCACTCCCACGCCCATGTCGGCCTGCTGCGCCGCTGCGCCGCCGCTTACCGATGTTGACGCAGAAGACGGGTATTTTGGAGTCCTTGAGGAAGGCCAGGAGGGCCTCGAGTGAGCCCAGCGTGGACGCCATGACGTATACGCCGCTGCCGGACCGGTCGACGGACTTGAATATGTCGCTCATGTCGGCCATGACCTCGTCCTTCAAATCCTCTATCATCTCCTCATCGTCAGGATCAACCACAAACAGCGACGTGCCAGCCACAGCGTCCTCGAGACCCTGAGGAGGCATAGGAGATGAACGTCACCTTGGTGTGCGTCTTTTGTGTGAGGGCGGGACGGTCGAACCTGCGCGGAGATTTTGACGCCCATTGCAGCGTGTATTTGCTTGTGGTGGATGTACTCGCCCTTGACGCGCAGCTCCTTCAGCGGCTGTGGCGTGAGGAGGGCTCTGATGTTTGTGACGATCGGCCCACTCATCCCACACACAATGATGGTGTCGCCTGCACACACGTATACACACCCACACACACACACACACACACGTGTTTCTTCTGCGTGCATCGTCGGATCGGTACGTCCGTCCATGTCATGTGTACGCACCTTCGTGCAGTGTGCCGTTGACGAGAATAACGTCAATTGTGGTGCCGAGGCCTTCGATGTTCTTGACCTCCAGGATGGTGCACTGCAGCTCCTCCTTGTACACGATGGCACTCGTCATGATGTCCTGAACAACCACACACACACACACATATGGATGAATGTAATGGACCCCTCTCTCTGCGGCTGGCTGCTTGTGTGTCTGACTGACCTGTGTGAGTTTGACTAGCAGCATGAGCAGGTCAGGGATGCCCTCGCCGGTGATGGCGCTAGTGGGGGCCACACTGACGTTTCTGCGGAAGTCGGGGTTGTCCCAGTAGACGAAGCAGTTGAGGCCCTGCTCGGCCAACGCCACCAGAGACTGATCCACACGGTTCTTGAACTCATCCTGACGTTACCACACACAACAATCAGTCAGATGGGCCGTCCTCCTGTGTGGGCCGGGCCGTGCCCAATAGCGCTCTCGATTTGATGCCTACATACCTTGACAGAAGGCTGCTGCCTGTCGATGGCCTCCTTGGCTGGTGTGTACTGGATGTCCTCCCACTGGTACATCCGGTCGATCTTGTTGAGGGCGATGACGAAGGGACACTTGCGCTTCTTGAGCAGCCCCAGGCTCTCCAGCGTCTGCGGCTCCAGCCCGTGCATGATGTCCACCACCAATATGGCGATGTCACACAGAGACGACCCTCGCGCACGAAGGTTGTTGAACGACTCGTGCCCGGGCGTGTCGATGATGAGCAGGCCGGGCACGTGCAGCTCAAGCTCGGGATCCACCTGACAAGACAGAGATGGCCGGCCAAGGAAAGAAGAAAGGACATTCATGCAGTCGCACGGTACACACGGGGTAGGGAGGGGTGTGGACTGGACTGGCTGACCGACCTTTTTGCACTGCTCCCAGAGTGCCTCCTTAGGGAAGAACGTGGCGCCGATCTGTTGTGTGATGCCGCCGGCCTCACCCTCCTGCACGTTGGTGCGCCGTATCTTGTCGAGGAGTTTGGTCTTGCCGGTGTCGACGTGTCCCAGGATGCAGCAGATGGGTGACCGCAGCCTCGCCGTGGCCTTGTCGACCTTGGGGGCCTTCGGGACGGGCTGGGCCCGTAGCATGGGCCTGCGGTGGTCGTCCTCGTCGGACTCGTCCTCCTCTTCCTCATCCTGCAGGGTAGGCAGATCAGATGCACGAATGAAGTTGTGCCAGTCAGGGTGGGTACATAATGGTCTGTGTGTGGCGCGGCGCACCTCTTCTTCCTCGCTCTCTTCTTCCTCGCTCTCTTCCTCCTCCTCATCCTCCTCCTGAGTAATGCACAGCACACCCCAACCACATCACATCAATGCGGGTGCGGTGAACCCGGCAGGAGGCCCCTCGCCTTACCATGTGGACGTCTTGCTCAGGTTTGGCGGCCCTGGCAGGTGCGGCGGGCTTGCCGGCGGCAGGGGCGGCTGGTGCAGCCGACGGCTCAGCCATGGCTGGTGGCTGTTTCTTGGACTCATCCTCCTCGTCGATGAGGGCCTCCCAATCATCCACTTCCTCCTCTCCCTCAACCTCATCTACACACACACACACAACACAAGTGTCCATACGCCCACGCGCGTGTGTCGCCACGTGTCTCATAGATAGCTCACCCTTGTGTGTTTCGTCTGCGACAGGCTGCATGGCCTCGTCTGCCTTGCCCTCGTCGGCCATGGTCACGTCGCCCTCGCCGCCCTCCTCGTGCCCATTAATGGTGTCGTGTTGCGGCCGCCTCTTCTTCCGCCGGTCGGACACCACCACTGTCTTCTTGGGCCCCTCGGTGTGCGCTGACTCACCCTCGGGACGCTCTGCACACACAGGGGAACAACGGAATGGATGGATGGATGGATGGATAGGTGTGAGTGCGGGTGCTGGCTACTCTGGATGAGCCCCTGTTCCTCGAGCTGTCGTCTGTATTCGGCCGCCCGCTCGGCCCGCTGCTTCTCGGCCTTGCTCAGCAACTTGCCCTCCTTCTTTAACTGCTGGCGACGAACCTGATGAAGACACCCACACGACAAGCACACACGTACCCACACATGACAGTCATGTGTGCGCCCAGCCCACTGGTGTGCGGTGCGCACCTTCTGTGCCTCCTTCTTCTCTCGTTTCTTCTTGAGTTCCTCCTCCTGTCGCGCCTCTTCCTCCTCGATCTTGCGGAGACGCTCCTCCTCCTTCTTGCGCACCTCGTCCTCCTCCTTCTTCCGCTGCTCCTCAGCCTACCACACCCACACACGCACACACCCCTGCGGTGCCGACCTCTGCGCGCATGTGGTGCTGTGATCGAGTGTGCTGACCTCTTTGATGGCCTGTATCCGCTCCTGCGCTGCTCGCGCTGCGGCGCTGACGGGCCCCGGCTTCTTCTTCTTGCCCTTGTCAGCAGCTGCAGCCGATGGAGCAGGGGCTGGGGCAGCTGCCGCCTGCTTCAGGCACACGCAAGACAACCACACAGGGATAGATCACCACCACAAAAGCCGGTGGGCATTGCTTTGCGCCTATCGTCACTCACCTCGGCGGCCTGCGCGGCTTCTGGGTCATCGGCTATCTTGTCCTCGGTCTCGTCAGAGACGGCAGCCTTGGCCTTGGCCTTTTTCTTCTCCTTCTTGAGTTTGTTCTTCAACGCACGCTTGGCCGCCTCGTCCAACACACCATCTGCACAACAAGCAAGGAAACAAGAAATCAAGAGAACGGAGAGCCAAAATTCCAGTCCAGTGAGTGACACAAGGTGCGCGTGTGTGGGAGCAAAGCAGCAGACCGGTGGTGCCTTCGGTCTCCTCTGTGGCCTCGGTGACAGCATCGGGAGCGGGGGGCTCCTCGGCTGCACCTACAACAAGCACAGACGCACGTAATCCTCATGTCACCCATGTCTGAGTATGGTGCGTACTGTGGATCGGATCCTTGCCTTGCGGAGCGGCTAACGGTTCTGACGCCGCTGGGGTCTCCTCGGGCTTGGCCCCCTCGGCCGCCACCTCAGCAGCTGCAGCCGCCTCACCTGCACAACGCAGCCACACAAGTTCCTCCGGACGCGTGAAGATCAATGCATTGCATGCCCCCCTCTCGGCCCCTCGCTTTCATTACCTTTGGGAGCCTCTTCTGCCGGATGCTCCTCCTCCTGCTGTGGCAGTGGCTGTGGTGGTGATGGTGTTGGTGCCTCGGGCTTCGGCTTGCCCTCGATCTCCGCGAGTATGGCATCGATGTCCTCGGTGTCCTCCCCTTTCTGCTGCTGTTTCTTCTTCTGCCGCGCCTTGCTCTTGGTCAGCACCGGGGGCGCCTCGACCTCAGCACCCACCCATGGGGCCTCGCCTGCACCCAAAGGACATCACACAGGAACGCAGTCGCTCGCAGACAAACAAGAGGTGGAGTGGCGATGTGTGTGTGTACCTTCTTGTGCTGGTGCTTCGACCGTCTTGGCCTTGCCCTCGATCTCTGCCAGGATGGCGTCCAGATCCTCGTCGTCATCAGCCTGAGAACACACACACATAAAGCAGAAATGAGTAGGGATTCGCCTCACGCCACCGGCGGGGCCCTGCAGCTGACTGACCTTCTTTTTGTTCTTGCCCTTCTTGCCCTTGGCCTTGGCTTTGGCTTTGGGTGCGGCGGGAGCCGGGGTGGCCTCAGGAACAGGCGCCTCTTCCGGCTCTTCTTGCTTGGCGGGCGCGCTCTCCTCCTCCCCATTGATCTCATCCTCGTCCTCACCCCCAAGATCCGCAAATCCACCCTGCCAAAACAAGCCAATACAAAAGGGATGGCCGTGTGCGTGGTGCCTGCCTGCCTGCCTGACCTTTGCTCGGTTTTTCTTCTGTTTTCGCCTCGATGCAGTGGACGGCATGGAGCTCACGGGCTCGTCCTCTTCCTCGTCTTCGTTGTCATCCCCATCACCGCCTGTCAGGGCCGCAAACCCGCCGCCCTTCTTGCCAGCCGATGGCTGGGCGCCCTCTTCCTCTTCCTGCTCCTCGTCGCCATCCTCGTCAAGCGCAGCGAACCCGCCCTGAGACCGACAGACAGACAGACAGACAGACAGGTGCATCGCATCGATGGTGCGTGTGTTAGTAACTACTGTCCCTGCAGGGCACCCTGCCCACCTTTTGTTTGTTCTTGGCCCGTCTGTTTTTCTTCTTGGGCACGGCTGCCGGTGCTGCGACCTCCTCCTCCTCTTCCTCGTCATCATCAGCCGCTGGCTTGCCGTCCGCCAATGCACCAGCTGATCCACACAACACACAGACATACAGCAGACTTGTCGGGGTACCTGTGAGCGTGTGCGTGTGCGTGTGTGGCTGCCACGATGTGTGAAGTCACCCTTGTCATCATCGTCACTTCCCGCCAGTGCCCCGAACCCCCCTGCCCCGCCGCCCTTGTCCTTCTTTGCTCTGCCCTTGCCCTTGCCGCCTCCAGCTTGAGGCGATGGCACGCCGTCATCCTCATCGGCTGGTGGCTCCTTGAGGATGTCGACGCTCTTCTCGACGAAATCATCATCGTCCTCCTTTTTGCGGCCGCGACGCTTCGGTGCCATCGTGACAGATGTTCGTCGGTGTGATCTGACAACCGAAACACAACAGATGCACACGAGATCAGTGCTGTGGCGCCTGGGATATGCACCAGACGACTCACCTTCTGGAGAAAGCTGTTATTCGCGCAGCTCGCAGATCTGATCGCCGACGTTTTGCCTCTTCCCCTGGCTTTTCATCTCCAGATGCAGCAGCAACATCAGCAGCAGCATCCCTTCTCGTATATCTTCGTTGGCCGCCGCACCTTCTACCTCCTCAGCCTCACAGACATACTCCAGCTGAGAGCCACCTGCAAATGGCTCAGCAAGCTCTTCGGAGCGGCCCAGCTGAGAGATCGGCTCCGTCACTCGCTGGGCTCACAGGCGGGGCTGCGGCGGGTGGTCAACGGGCGGCAAGTGCAGCTGATGCGGTTCGACGATGAGCAGTTCGGCGTGTGTGACCTGCTTCATCACACTGTGTGTGTGATGGAGGAGGGAGAATGGGTGGAGATCGGCGAGGTGATTGAGTGGGCGGGGCAGTGTGGCTGCTGCGCGCTGCCTCTCAGCCTCACAGCAGACGACATCAACACACACGCCAGCAAGACGGTAAGGCACACACAGAGGGGCGGGAGCGAACAGAGAGGCATCATCCCCCCCCTCTCTCTCTCTCTCTCTCTCTCTCTCTCTGTGTGTGTGGTGTAGGCGTATCTGTCGGTTCCCCGTGTGTTGGCGCAGCTCATGGTGGTGGGCCGCCATGCCAATGGCAACGGCAGCTGCCTGCGGATCTTCCGCTATGCCAACGGTGAGGTGCGGGCCATCAAGGACGAGCCCGGCTTCGAGCTGGACCTCAACCCGCCCCTCCTTGCCGGCCATCTGTATCAGCAGCACCGACTAGAGCATGGCCCACCAGTGGCAAGCCGCATCGAATACTCTGGCTTCACCGGCAAATGGACTTCGGTGCGCTACCCGGACACCTATGCGTCGGTGTCGTCCTTCGCCAAGCGGATGATCTGCTTCCACTTCTACGACACTCACCGTTGGCCTCAACCACACTTAGCGACACTCAATCGTCACACACTGATGGCACTCAACAGGTAGCACACCAATGGAACCAGTGGCGAGAGGGGTGCGTGTGTGATTGTGTGTGTGTGTGTGTGTGGTTGGTTCAGGCGTGTTGGTGGCGGCCGTCTGGATGGCCTGCTGACGGACTCGCCCCACACACCAGTGGCCGGCTGCACCACCACACTCACCTGGAATGGTCCTATTCGAGATCTGGTGCTGACCGACAGCAGCCACACCTTCGTCGCATGGATTAACCTTTTCGCTTGGGGGGGCGGCACCGGTCAGGCCGACCGACATGCAGCTCTGCTGGTGTCAAGTGTCATCAGTGTTTTCTTTCTGTCATTGTCTGTCTGCAGTGAGGGTCCAGGTCTGGACGACCGAGGCGCCTGTCGCTGGTGAGTGGCGTGCCTTCAAGGACCGCTTCCCCGTGACCACTCGGCTGGCCCGTGTGGCGTTTGAGCGAGCGGCGCCATACGTCTTCGACGGCCAAGTAGAATGATGATGACGGTGGTAGGGACACACACAAACACGGGCCGGATGGACGGCACGACGTGGCTTTTGTTTTGTGTGTTTGTGTGTTTATGTGTTGTGTTAGGTTCCCACGATGGCGGCGATGATGAGGGCAGTGCAGGTACCAAAGAGGGAGGGAGGGAAGGCATACAGCACACAAGTGTGTCCCTCCCTGTGCACTCGACAGGTGGCGGTGTCTGATTGAGCGGTCCAACTACCACTGGTACGCCACAGAAATGCCACGCGCAAAGCCGATTAATGTCTCCGGTCATCCAATTATTGCGTTGTATGTGTGTCATTAGGAGGGTTTCTTGGCCTCTCTTTGTCCGGTCCGTGTGTGCGCAGGACGAGGGGTGCTCGGTGTGCCACCCACTCGCTCTGGATTTGGGATGGTCAGGGGTCACCATATGCCTCTGATGCATGCGTTGCGTTAGTCAGGCTATGGCTGTGCCTTTTGTCCGTGCGCTATCGGTGCGTCTCTCCCTCCCCCTCTACGTCTCTGTCTGTCTGTCTGTCTGTCTGTCTGTAAGAGATCTTCTCGTCCTCATGGCTCGCTGGCTGCCTGGGGGTGGGGCTGTGGGTGCGCTTGGTGCTCTTCGCTGCTGCAATGGCCGATTTTGATGTGATGCTCCGGGGTGTGTGACTGTGTTTGGCTGCCTGGCGGATCACTCGCAACCAATGCATGTGTGTGCTGATGGAGACCTCTCTCTAAATGATCGTGCGTGCGGTGGAGTGTGTCGTCCCACACCCCTAGTGGGTCCAGGGTTTCAAACCCTGCTCCCTCAAGCAGATGTTCCTCAAGCGTGGCTCTTCATTTCCAATCCTTCTGTCCCTGTTGCCTCTCGCCATGTCATTCACACCGTCCAAGCGGATCTTCGCTATCACAGGCTGCACTGGCCGCACAGGCGGCGAGGTACTCAAGGAGCTGGTGAAACAACGACAACTCGCCAATGCCGACTGGGAGATTCGGTAAGTACGTTTGGGGCTCACACAGCACAGACGAAGGAGATGGCTGAAACTCAATCCAAGAATGCATTCATTCATTCATTCAGGGCATTGGTGCGGAACAGACGTGGCCACCGTGCCGACTGGATGGATCAACTACCGGGAGTCAAGGTGGTGCTGGCCGACATGAAGGTGAGTGAGTGAGATGCAGCTCGTGCACCTTACTGACTGGGAGGCAGGCACAAAACCGATGACTGACTGTCTGGTGGCCTGTCTGTTCATCCGTGTGTGCAGGACAGGAAGGCCCTGAGGGATGCGTTGCGGGGCTGCACGGAGGCCTTTCTGGTGTGCGGCAACACGGCTAAGGAGGGGGAGCAGACGGCCAACGAGGAGAACTTCATCGAGTGTGCCAAAGAGGAGGGCGTCAAGTACCTGGTACAACCAGCAGACAGACAAGAGCTATGTATGATTTGGACAATGAATGCCATTTGTCGTTCGTCTGTCTGTCTGTGTCGATGGATCAGGTCAAGGCCGGCACGGCAGATCCCATCTACGGCACCGACGCACCCGTTGCTTATGGCCGGGAGCACACGCACATCGAGGGCTTCCTTCGGTCCAGTGGTGTGCCCTTCACCGTCCTGCACCCGTGCTTCTACATGCAGAACCACCTGATAGACATCTCCACCATCACCAAGGAGCGCTGCATCTACGACTGCACACGGGCTAGCAAGGCGGGCTGGATCGATATTCGGGACGTCGCTGAGTGTGCCGTGAGGCTGCTGATCATGCCTGAAGAGGAGAGGCAGCAGCATGTGGGCGCGACATATGAGATCACCGGGCCCGAACTGCTGGACTTTCAGCTGATTGCAAAGGTCGGTCCGCTGCGCACACATCAATCACTTCATCCACACACACACACGACAGACCTGTACACGTACGTGAGCATTGATTGTGTGGTGTGTGGGTGCACACAGGTCTATTCTGAGGTGCTGGACACTCCGATCTCTGTTCGCGATATGACCCCCCGTGAATGGGCGCATGCGCATTTCGGCAACCCCGATGCTGCCGTTGCTGACATGATGCAGATATGGCGGGACGGCCACTTTGCGACCATGACGACGGATGAGGGGCTGCTCAAAGTCCTCCAGCCGCACCGCACCTTCAGGCAATGGGTACAGGAGAATGCAGGCCTCTATAAGGGCGGGGGCAAGCACGAGTGAGACAGACAGAGAGGGGTCTCGGTTCGTTCGCATCGCAGTAGTTCTGCCTTGCTTGTTCCTCACGTGTGAGCTCTTTGATGTGATGCGGTGTCTCTTCTTGACCACGTGTACGACGGACGATGTTCCCGGAGCGCCATTCGTTCTGCAGCTTGTGGTGTGCATGGCATGTCTTTGTGGTATGTATGACTCGTTGACCGTTGAGATGAATGATAGTGATCTGGTGGGGGTGGTGCACCAGATGCCCAGCAAAGCACGGGCACATCATTGACACCCATGACTGACACACGTAGAGAGTCCACAAGCAAGTCGACATGCATCTAATTAATGCATTCACCGTGTAATGTGTCGACAAGGTGAGCCAAGCAGGCAGGCAGGCAGAAAGACAGGAAGGTTGGCAGAGAGAGGGGCAGCGACAGCGATGCTTGCGCACCGATACGTTCGTTGATCAAAACCTGCCTGCCCTCCTTGCCTTGCCCACCTGGCGCCTGGCCGCCTAGTCTTTCCCGCCATCCATCTCCCATCTGCATGGCCCGCCCGTTTGCATGGCTACCCATCGCAACAGGAGACAGGAGAGAGCGAGGCTATCATTCACAAATCCCCAGACCCGGTAAGCTCTCCCTTGTCCCCTTCCCAGACAGCCGTGGGGCCGCCCGCCATGGCCCACACAGATAGATAGATGGCCATCGAATTCATATATCAGCAGAGTGCATATGTACGCACGCAGAAAGGCAGGCACGGCACGGCACAAGCGTGGCATCCACAGGAATGCATGGCACCAGCACCCACGGAGACAACACATTGATGTATGTATATGGTGTGTGTGTGAACAGCCCGCAAGCAAGTCGCCATCCGTCCGACGGAGCATTAGGCAAAAAACCAGGCAGGCAGACAGGCAGGCAGGCTGGCCGGCAGGCATGCAGGGAGGGTGTCTGTCTGTCTGTCTGTCTGACGTTCGCATTGCAGTAGTTCTGCCTTGCTTGTTCCTCACGTGTGAGCTCTTTGATGTGATGCGGTGTCTCTTTTTGACCACCTGTACGACGGACGATGTTCCCGGAGCGCCATTCGTTCTGCAGCTTGTGGCGTGCATGGGCATGTCTTTGTTGTAGGTATTGACTCGTTGACTGTTGAGATGAATGGTAGTGATTTGGTGGGGGTGGCACTCAGATGCCCAGCATAGCACGAGCACATCATTGACACCCATGACTGACACACGTAGAGAGTCCACAAGCAAGTCGACATGCATCTAATCTAATGCATTCACCGTGTAATGTGTCCACAAGGTGAGGCAAGTAGGCAGGCAGAAAGGCAGGAAGGTTGGCAGAGAGGGGCAGCGACAGCGATGCTTGCGCACCGGTACTTTCGTTGATCAAAACCTGCCTGCCCTCCTTGCCTTGCCCACCTGGCGCCTGGCCGCCTAGTCCTTCCCGCCATCCATCTCTCATCTGCATGGCCCGCCCGTTTGCATGGCTACGCATCAGCAACAGGAGAGAGGAGAGAGGAGAGAGCGTGGCTATCATTCACACACATCCCCCGACCCACCTCTCCCTTCGCCCTTGTTCCCTCCCCAGACAGCCGTGGGGCCGCCCGCCATGTCCATCGAATTCATCAGCAGAGTGCATATGTATGCACGCAGAAAGGCAGGCACGGCACAAGCGTGGCATCCACAGCAATGCATGGCACCAGCACCCACGGAGACAGACAACACATTGATGTATGTATATGGTGTGTGTGAACAGCCCGCAAGTAAGTCGCCATCCGTCCGACGGAACATGGAGGAGGCAAAAATCCAGGCAGGCAAGGCAGGCAGGTCTGACGAATGCATAAAATGGTGACGGCCAACCCATTTATGTGTGTATGTGTGCATAGTAAGTCGCCAGCCATCCAATGAATGCACCGTGCAATCGGTCGACAAAGTGGGCCAGGTCACGGAGGCAGCCAGCCAGGCAGCCCTGGCAGGAGAGATGTGTGTCTGTCTGTCTGTCTGACCAAGCAAGTAGGGAGGGGACTTGGGCATGCATGACACGTGCGCACGAGTGGTGTGCTGCGCTGTGTTGATCGATCACACACAACACAACACAGCACATGCATCCGCTTGAAAAACACGGCATGGCCCACCGACCCACCGGCGATGAAGTGAAGGCATTGCATGTAAGCGCGTATCAACACTCTGCCTGCCTGCATCGGGCGGCTCTTTCTCGACCCAACAGCCACCCCAACACTCACTCAGTCAGTCAGTCACTTCCTTGTCCACCCCACCTGGCGTCATGGCCTGCAGACTGAGCCTGACTTGCAGTGAGCTAAAGTAAGTCCTGTCTTCGTCACAATCCACCTCACACTCTGTGTCTATCTAAGTGAGGCAGTCATATGAGCCCTACACCTGTCTGAAGCACTCGACACCGAGCGCCTGCAGCCCATGGTGCCGGGCGCAAGCTTTCTAGAGAGGACCTCCTCTAGATTATCCCCCTCTAGCTCCCCATAGTGAGGAGGGCGGCACCGGCCAGCCCTTCAGAGTGAGGCGGTGTACGTGTGGAGGAGTGTGAGTGTGGTGGTGGGGCTCGTCAGGCAGTGTACCCCGAGGATCACACACACATACCTCATCTAGCTTATCGACACGCAGGCACGCCACACACTGAGCCACGGCAGCCAGGCTAAAGGACGACCGGAATGTGACTGATCTGACACGACGCAGGCTGCCTAGCAGTGTAGTGAGTGGGCTGGTGGGGTCGCCCAGGCTGGCTAGGAGTGTGTCTGTGTTGGGGCCGAGAGACAAACGCCTCAATCCGATGTCGAGGTGCTCGACGGCTGGGAATCGTTTGTCGTTGCCGTCCTTCTGGTCGATCTCGAGCACGAATGGGGAGATGCTGTTGGCCAGCAGCTTCTGAGGGGCATCGATGTACAGCGTCTTGGCGTTGGGGAAGGTCGGGAGCGACTTCCACGACTCATGGAGAGGCGTGCCACCGCAGCGGAGATCCACCTGAAAAAGGGAATAGGATACATACACACCATCACAAGTGAGCCTTTGGATCAGTCCGTGTATGTCGCTGTCTTCTCACCTTTGTTGCCTGTGGCGCCAGCTGCTGGACCACGTCAGCCACAAGGTCAGCCACAGCAGGGGAAGCGCTCGACACCTCCTCGCTGCAGTCCACTCTCATGGAGGGCTCGTCATCCTTGTGCAGGGGATGGCGCTTGAGCCGGCACTCGACGGACACGCCCAGCTTCCGTGCCCAGGCGAGCAAGGTGTGCAGGGGGCGGGTGTGGTCGCCGACGGTGTGGCTGATGGTGGGGTAGTAGAACAGCAGCTGGATGGTCTTCTGGACGCCTGACGAAAGGCAGAAGACAACACGCATCGAATACAGCCATATGAGACAGAGGGAGCTGATGGATGGATGGATGTGTGGCTGTGCGGCTGTCCGCCTCACCCTGCATGTCCTCTCGGCCCCAGATGGTATCCAGGGCCTGCTGCAGGTCAGCCAGGTGGCCGTAGCCGTGACAGCGCAGGTACTCCGCCCCAAAGTCGGGTAAGTACTTTACCTCCCTTCCCCCCAAAACGAACTGTGCCTCCCTTGCCCTCAACCTCTCTGCAAGGCGCATACACGACAAGGCCCCTGCCTTCGTCAGATTGTTCCACTCATCAGATTGTTCCACCGAGAGGCGGTGTACGTGTGGAGGAGTGTGAGTGTGGTGGTGGTGCTCGTCAGGCAGTGTACCCCGAGGATCACACACACGTACCTCATCTAGCTCATCGACACGCAGGCACGCCACACACTGAGCCACGGCAGCCAGGCTAAAGGACGACCGGAATGTGACTGATCTGACACGACGCAGGCTGCCTAGCAGTGTAGTGAGTGGGCTGGTGGGGTCGCCCAGGCTGGCTAGGAGTGTGTCTGTGTTGGGGCCGAGAGACAAACGCCTCAATCCGATGTCGAGGTGCTCGATGGCTGGGAATCATTTGTTGTTGCCGTCCTCCTTGTCGGTCTCGAGCACGAATGGGGGGATGCCGTCCAGCCCCTTCTGCACCGGCGTGTCGTCAGGGGCATCGATGTACAGCGTCTTGGCGTTGGGGAAGGTCAGGAGCGACTTCCGCGACTCATGGAGAGGCGTGCCACCGCAGTAGAGATCCACCTGAAAAAGGGAATAGGATACATACACACCATCACAAGTGAGCCTTTGGATCAGTCCGTGTATGTCGCTGTCTTCTCACCTTTGTTGCCTGTTGCGCCAGCTGCTGGACCACAGCAGGGGAAGCGCTCGACACCTCCTCCCTGCAGTCCACTCTCATGGAGGGCTCGTCATCGTCATCCTCGACCAGGGGCAGCTCGGCCAGGGGTCGCCACTCGACGGACACGCCCAGCTTCCGTGCCCAGGTGAGGAACTTGTGCAGGGGGCGGGTGTGATCGTCGAAGGTGTGGCTGATGGTGGGGCTGGTGAACAGCAGCTGGATGGTCTTCTGGACGCCTGGCGAAAGGCAGCAAGACAACACGCATCGAATACAGCCATATGAGACAGAGGTGGCTGATGGATGGATGGATGTGTGGGTGTGTGTCTGTCCATCTCACCCTGCATGTCCTCTCGGCCCCAGATGGTCTCGAGGGCCTGCTGCAGGTCAGCCGAGTCGTAGACCTCCACCCCACGGATGGTGGTGAGGTGTCTGCACTCGCGGAGGGCATCCGTGAAGGCACGCCACCCGTCGCCCACGCCGTGTCCCTTGATGCGCTCGGTTGTCAGTGTCTTGAGCTTGGGAGATGTCTGCACGATGCGAGTGAGGTGAGGGAGGTGAGGGAGGTCACCGTATCTGCAACTGGTGAGGTGACCGACTCGCAAGTTGACAAGGCTCTGGAACCTCCAGTTACAGTCACTGACACAAACAGCACAAAAGGACACGGGCAGATTCAAGCAGACAGATCCGCAGGCAGGCATGTCACATTGGCTTCATTCACCTGAAGTGTTGGATCCACACGCCGGACGTCACGTGCAGCGTGGTGACATTGTCGAAGGCCACAGGGGGTGGGGGCCGATTCCTGGGCCTCGGCTTGTATCGACGCCGTTCGTCAGCAACCGTGATGTACACCTGTGTGAGGGTCGCCTTTGAGGCCTCGAGGGATGTCGACACGAAGGGCAGGGGGTACGGTCCGGCGGCCGCGATGCGGGCCTCCGTGACATGACCCTGATGGAAAGGACAAACAGAGAGGCCGCCCACATATGACAAGTCTGGTGGTGTTTCTGTCTCGGTCAACGAAGGATCCCTCACCAGCTTGCCCAACAGCCGGGTGCGCGTGGCCTTCTTGAGCCTCTTCCACGTGTCGGTTTCGTGAGGTGCGATGGTGAGGTGTCGGAAGATGCCGACTGACGTGCCGTCCGTGTTGTCCTGGGTGGTGGGTGTGTTGTCTGGGTCGTAGTTGGCCTTGCTCCTGATGTCGCTGTTGAGGCAGAGGAGGGCGGTGGCCTCGATGGTGGTCAGATGCGACGCCATCTCACACAACAGGTGGCCCGGCAGGCCACACAGACACGGCCGATGGACAACCTGACACACACACGGACAAAAAGGTATGGGTCCGCTGCGGGTGTGTGGATGTGTGATTGTCTTGGCCACGTGTCGGCTCACTGACCTGCTGCTGCTGTTGGTGCTGTTGGTCATGGCCCTGCGCCGCTTGCTGAGGTCCGCCCGACAAGCTACCTGCACGAACACACACACACACACACACACAGAGAGAGAGAGAGAGAGAGGGGAATGAGCGTATCTGATTGGTGTGGTGGGTCATCCATGCTCTGCGTAAGTGTGTCGCGCCCCACCACTGGCAGCGGCACGGCTTGGGGAATGCTCCACGCGAGCCCGCTTGCTGCCCGACACGGCTACCTGCACACACACAAAGGGACCATGAGATGGACGGAATATACTCACATGGCGTATGTCTCTGCGTGTCTCTCGGTGTACCGAATTGGATGCACGAGGTCCATTCTGATCACAGCAGTGACGACATCAGCATACATACACACACACATGCGCGTGTTTGTGCCATGCCCGCTTGTATTAATTATTCGCTTACCCCATCTGTGGTTTGCTCGACCGTGCCCGCAAGTCGGTGGTGCGGCTCCAGGGGATCTCCTTTGTCGTAGTAACGGAAGCCGCCACACACCTGATTCCAACAAGCAACCACACGCAGAGAGAGAGGTGGTCGCAGCCCGGCATCAAACACAGCCCGCTCCCTCTGTGTGTGTCTGTTTGCTTACTGCACGATTGTCAAGCTGTTTGAAGTGCGGTGTTGTGCTGGGCACCACTATCTCGAAAATCTCCGTCCCATCGACCTCCTTCATGCAGAGTCTCCTCCCTCCGTGTACGTCGGCTCCGGCTCCGTGCGGTACACGTCCGCCAGCACCAGAGCCTTGTCCTTCTGCTCCGACAACATCCACACTCGACCCGCCGGCACTGCGCTGCCATTGGCGAACGGACGGCACGACGACGCACTCGCGGACACCTACACGAATTGACACAGCAGACACACACATGCGGACGGCGTGCCTGCCCACCATCCCGTCTGCCTCTGTGTGTGTCGTTTGTTTGCCTACCGTGAGTGCGTCATTGTCTGACAGCGCCATACCGCCCGCCACGCCGGTAAGAGCTACCTGCACACACACACACACGGGCGCAGTGAGTACCAGATAGCTGACACCGATGGCCCTTATGTCTGTGGTCCTGCGCACCTCATTGGATGGACGAGATGCCCTCTGGTTCGTCTCCGCCACTGTACCACAACTGCTACCATCGCCACCCTGCCGCGACAATACAGAGATACGCATTCACACATGCACACACAGCAGCAGAGAGGAACCACATGGCTGCCCGTGGCGCACCGAATTCGATGCGTCAGGTCCGCCATCGGCATGATGCTCTACGTCCACCGATCCGCTAACGCCCACCTGACGACATCCCACCACACCACACCACACTCTGTCGGGTCCCCTGGCTCGTATCGATGCGCCTGTGGTATCTGTGTGTACCCACCTGTGTGTGTGGGTTGTCTAAGAGGTCGTTGATGAGCGTCGATCTGCCCGTCATGGCCGACACTTCACTCCGGGGCCACACGCAGATACAGCACGGCAGGTGAGGTGTTGCGCCGATCGGGTGTCTGGTGCGTCACGTCGTGCATCCACCACCCACCCAGGCGCGTACCTGTACATCCCCTTGGCTGTGCAGCAGCGCACGAGCACGAGCCCCCGACACATCAGCCGACAACTGCATGAGCAAACAAGCCAACCAAGAAAGAGGGAAGAGATCTTCGGTGTTATCGGTGGATTTCAGGGGACACGACCGACGGCTGACCTGCTGGCGCGCCACATTGGTGCCGCTGCAAGATAAGGCAGACCCACCACCACCACAGCCGCCACCTGCACACACCCCCGCAGATCCCATCGGCTGTGGAAGGTGTGTTTGTGCTTGGTTGCACCTTCTGCCATGAGGGCGGCCGGCGGGGTCTCTTATTCTCCTTCGCTGAGGCCGGGCAGTCCCACCTATCCCACCAACCAGAAGGCACCGCTGCGAATCAGGAAACCATCGTCAGGAAGAAATTTCATCGATTTCTCCGCATTCCCGTGCTGCTCAGATGCGCCCGCCGCTCAGCGCCCGACACATTGCGAAGCCGGAAAATGTGAACCCAAGCCTTGGCCATCATCCGTTTCACAGGATCTCGACTTTCCCCTTCCCCTTTTTTCCCCAGCCGCCATGCGTGTGTTTGTGCTGCTGCTACTGCTGGTGTCGTTCCCCCTGGTCACTTTGTCTGGCTGGAAGTACAGATGGAGGCGCTACAAGAGATACAGAAAAGCGTACAGAAGATACAACCGGTGGGAAGAGAGATGATAGTCCGAGAGGGGCATGGCTGAATACAATATGCATGCGTGATTATGCCCGCGGGTGACTGTGCAGGTACCGCAGCAAGTACGGCTACGGCTATGGCCGCTGGCTGCAGGATCAGCCGCAGCCCGCTCACGCTGCTGCTGACGGAGGACGTGAGGACCCTGAGGGGCCCCCCAATGGAACCGCACCACTGTTTGCTTGAGGATTGCACATGTAAAGCACTGTGAGACAGGGCGTCTGACACACCAGGGGAAGGGGGATTGCATGTCTACTGGGGGGAGGGTGAGGGATGCCATTTTCTGTAAGACATGGGGGTGTAAGCATGGGAAAAAGGCACTGGAACGAGGAAGACAAGCGGGCACACTAAGTGTTTTCCACATCAACACCATCTTACTGGTGTCGGTGAGTACCGTGGGGCTAGTCGCATTCGTTTGAAACACACGAGAAAAGGTAAGCACAGGCCATCGATACATGTACGTATGAATGTGTGGTGGCTACCGTTCTTGATGTGATGCCCCTGTGGAGGAAGAACAGAGCATGCATGGACACCAAAATAGCCAAGTACTCTCACTTTTTGTCCCCTAGCTATTACAAGCTAGCTATCTCATACAAAAGCCCGCCAGAGGGAACTCCCAATAAATGACAAATGCACACACAGACGTAAGCGTGCAACGTTCCCCAAATCAAGTCAATTCGATTCACCCCCGCTTATGCCTCCCCCACTCGTAAAGCGAACCATGTCTTCCTGAAACAACGGAGGAGGCGCCTGCAACTGCGCCTCCTTTGTCTTTTCTTCCCCCCCACAGCCCCCCGATTCCCTCCTCTCGGTCGAGGGCGTCCACTCGCCCTTCCTGACGGGCGACTTTGGCGACTGTGTGGAGCTGCTATCGCCCACACTCGCATTGCTGCCGCTCGGCCGCCTGCGTCTCTTGTGGGGTGTGCCCTGAGACACGTCCTCTGTCGATCCGCTTCTTGAGTCTTTGTTCGACGGGCCCGAGAGCAATGAGAGCATGGAGGCGCCGCGAATGAAGGATGCAAGGCTGCCCGACCTGCGCGGAGTGAGTGTGGCCGGGATGAGGGCACGGATGACCGTCTCATACTCTGTCAGGTCTGAATAACGACAAGCGGACCAGAGAGACATTGATGGACGCAGTTTTTTGCGTTTCGGTTTGGCTTTTCGGTTGTCTGACCGATGCGCCCATCTCCCTCCCCCGACTTGCCAATCTCGCTGAAGACCAGCTGAGGCAGCGCAACCCTAAGGAGACACAGTGGCCCATTCCTGTACTCATCCGTTGCCACCATGCCCTCTGATCTGCCCACCTGCCTGGCGCCATGACATCCTCCAGGTCTGCCAGCGAGAGGTAGCCGTCCCCATCGACGTCAAGCATGTCGAAAGAACGCTATATGCAGACCGCAGGCAGGGTGCAGGCAAGCTGCGGGTGAACAAAGAAGCTTGTCTGACCTACTTTGATCCTGTCTTTGCTGAGCAGCTTGTGAGGTTCAAATGCGGCCTGCAGGAACTCGCTGTAGCTAACGAACCCATTCCCATTCACATCGACGTTGGCGAAAATGGCCGCGACCTCCTGGCTGCTGAGGAGAGGACCGCTGTCAGAGCGGTGCCAACGGTCAAAAAACTGCTGGAACTCAGCCAAAGTGATCTCCTAACGCAGCCACAGCAGCAAACAGGTGTCACGTGCCCATGCTGTGTCTGTGTTGGCCCTTCTGTGGGCTGACTGACCCCATTCCCCGATTTGTTCATCTCGCCAAAAGCTGCTGCAAGCTCCTGCAACTCAGCCTTGGGGACCAGCTGATGCACCACCAAGGAGAGGGTGGTCTGCAGTGCAGACAGCAATGATCATACATGGCTTCTGTCTCCGCGGATGGGGGATGAGATGTGTAAGTGGGCGGTTAACTGACCTGCTGCAGCCTCAGAGGAGCTTTGAATGCAGCCAGATTCTGGACGATCTTTTCGATGGCCACAGAGGCACGACGGCTGCTCGAAAAGGAGCCTCTACGTTGGTCAACATTCTTCCGAAACCTGACGAGCATACCGAGAGTGCCTCCCTTTCCCCTCCGCTGCGTGTGTCATACGCACCACTCGTGCTGGAGTGCCCTAAATGCAGTCAGCCGCCTCGACGGGTTGCGGTTCAAAAGCTGGAAGCAAGCGGACAAGCGACGTATCGATGGGTGTGTACACGTATGATGTCTGACCTTGAGGATGAGGTCTTTGCACTGTGGCGAGATGTCCCGCCACAGTGCAGCAGGCTCGAAACGGATCGGCTTGCCCGAAGAGATGAGCCTCTCGGTGGCATCCTCACTCTCGCCCAGGTAGGGCGGGTGACCGGCCTGAGCAAACGAACGCACAGGCATACCCCACATCCCCAAAGGACAGCAAAAGTAGGAGGAGAAGGAGGGGCTCACCAGCATCATGTAGAGCATCACCCCACACGACCACTCGTCGACCAGCTCATTGTACGACTCGCAGAACACCTCAGGAGCTGACAGACAGAGACGAAGCGAGACACGGCTTTCGTTATTTTGTCTCGGTCGATGCGCCATGGTCCGTCTCGCGTCACGTACCCATCTGTCGTCAACAGTCCGTCAATCACACACCGCAAATAGCGTCACGTCAGTCGGTACCCGTACATAGTATGTGGTTCCGACGACTTCCCGCATCGGCCTGTGGGGACGAAAACGAGTCGCACAACCGAAATCGATAACCTGCAGCAAAGATGGAAACCTCTGTGCCTTTAAGATCTGTCTGTCTGTCTCTCAGGTGTCAATAATCTCACCTTGATTGGTGCCTTTGGGTCTTTGGAGTCGAATAAAACATTCTCGAGCTTCATGTCTCGGTGACAGACGTGCTTCTCGTGGCAATAGGCAACCGCACTCAACACCTACTCACACACACACATAGAAAAGATTGAAGTGAAACTGACCTGCGACTAAGGTACAGACCCCTGCCGACCTGTTGCAGCACACTCGCCGCCATGGGTTCAGAGAAGTTGTGCTTGAGGAATTTTTCGAAGACCTCTCCCCCCGTGCTGAGCTCCGTGACACAGTAGAAGTTCTCCTTGTCCTCAAACAGCTCATACACTTTCAGAATATTCGGGTGGTCCAGTTCGTTCATGAGGGCGGCCTCCTGTCGAAAGACGGCCTCACTCTGCACATCGGCCTTGCAAACTCGCTTCAATGCTGCACGCCACGCCAAACACACAAGACGGCACGGCAAGCTGTGTGTACAATATGGCTAAAGCACATGGACAAACACGATGGTACCTCTCTTTTCATGGAGCCCTGTGTGTCTTGCAATGTAGACTGTCCCGAAGGCCCCACTTGCCACCTTCCTCCCTGCGCAAACAACAGACACACACAACGAATGCGGCCACGCCATACGTAGGAGAGCCTCATTACCGATGCGGTAGGTCCGCCCCAATGTTCTCGGAGCGAGGTTTTGCAATGAGTGTCGTGAGACGAAGTGGCCTCCGCCGCTGTTTTGCTGATTCGGCGGGCCGGGCATGTTTGTACTCAAGGGAACTGACACGGCCTGCCCGAACTCTGACCCGGACAGTGTTTGACATTGACCCATTTTTTTTCAAAGGAGAAAGCGGTTCACACGCAGAAGAGATGGCCTTCACAAAAGGAAAAAAGACGCCAAAGAAAGCTCGCAGCCCCCTCCCCCAAGCTCGCAATCGCAAGAACGCAGACGTCTCTGGCAGGAGGGGGCTTCCAAAGAGGTGTTGGGTTCGACAGCATAAACACGACAAGCACGGAAGCAAGAAGGAAAAGTGTCGGTATCTCAAGTGTGAGAGCACTAAGAGGCTGGATCCGTCGACGAAGACAGAGGAGGAGCCCGAGATGTTCGCCGCGTGCTGTGCGTGTGAACAGCCAGGCAAGGGGGAAGCCGTCACACAGATATCCTTCGACCAGGCAAGCAGCCCACAACTAAAGCAAACAGCGGGGGGAGGCATCAAAAGGCATCCCCGCTTGTCTGTCTGTTTCAGCACGACCACGGCAAGGCGTACGCGTCGGCCTTCAGCGAAGACGAGCCCGAGGTGTTGTCGTCTGCCACTCCAAGGGTGGAAGGCACCGGCGCGTCCGGGAACGGTGGGGGGACGTGACACTGACACCGACGTCTTCTGGTGCGCTGTAGCTCGTGTTGCTTCCGTTCTTGTTGTCAGATAAGAGGGAGGACGCCTCGCGCAATGACGTGTCGCAGACTTCGGGGGCCTATCTGACACAAGAGGAGAAGCAGAGGGAGAAAGACAGGCTGCAAATGATGGTTAGTCAGTTAGGCAGGAATCCAACGCTTATCTTCGTTCTCATTCGCTCACTCTCTCTTTCTCTGTCCGTGCGCGCGTGTGTGTGTTTCACAGGTGAAGGCGTTTGCGCGTGCGGCGGTGGTGGGCGTCAAGTGTCACTTTGTCAAGGAGCCCGACACACTGCAAGGTGCGGGGCAGGTGGTCGAGGCGACATACTACCTCACCGAGTCGCTCAAGGTCAGCCAGCCAGCCACCAGCGGACACAGACAGCAGCAGTGCGTGTATGTGTATCAAATTCGGGTGTCCTTCCAGCACATGATCATCACGGGCCCTGACGCGACGAGGAACATTCCCCTGACGACAGTGAGCGAGATGGCGAAGAGGGAATGTGCGTTGGCTAGACTGGCGGCCATGTGTGTGTGTGTGTCTGACCAGATATCGGATGTGGTGTTCTTCGAGGAGTCGAAAGTGACTTCGGTAAGACAAGACTGACAGGCGCTACAAAGGCAGTGATGATTGTGTGGTCTCCCTTAACCTTTCAGAATGCCTGCTTCCGCGTGCTGACGCGCGAGGAGAAGAGCCGCGCCATCGATATCGAGGTACAAACTCCACCAGAGTTGCTCGTGCAATTATGAGTGTGTTGTCTGTCTGTTCAGTACGACAGTGGTGAGGGTTCGATGACCCACTTGGTGCTGCTGACCAACGAGGGCGGCGAGGACAGGGAAAATGTCATCACCTCACTCAAAATACTCAGGTGCGTACCGTGCGTGGGCAGGCAGGGCACCACCGCAGCAAAAAGGCGACAGACATCATTCCTGTCTCTCTCTGTGTTTGGTGTAGGTTGTATTCGTTGGCCGGCACGCCGAAGACCACCCCAAGGGCCTAATTCGGTCGGTCGAGACGCACCCGACCCGCGCTTGTGGACACTACCTGCATGCCTGCCTACACACCCCATCGCTCAATCTCACATGCGGCTGTTCTCCATCGGTCGTTTTTCTACCTATCCATTCCATACAGTCGGTCAGTCAGTCCATCGTTGTGTTGTGTGACACACCCAACACATAACGAGAGGGACGCGACACACGATTGGCCAGCAGGGGCTGGACGCACGGACGGACGAACGGATGCAATCAATGCATGCCTTGTTACGACACTCAAGTACTTGGCCGGGGTACTACTAACACCACGATGATCGTCAGTCAACTACTAAGTATTTGTGCGGCTGGTGCCTTCCTTGCCTGGCTACCTGCTACCTACCTGCTTGCATGTCCCGTCGTGTCTGTCATACCTGCCTTGCCTTGTCCCATCTGTGTGTATGTATGTCAATCTCTGTGTTGTGTAGGTATGTAATATCTATAGCTCACTCACTCACTCACCCGCCCTCACTCTTACTTACTATGATGATATGGTATACAGACCAGACTAGCCAGCCCAGCCGCCAATGAGCTGCCGAGAACCAGTGAGTACAGTAAAGGGATTACCGACCGCACCTACCGATATTATGTATCCGCTTCGCTTGACACGAGAAGAAACCGAGGAAGCCAGCGACTAACGTCACTTTATGGTCACGATCTTTTCTCCGTCGTGCTTGTGTGTTTCTGTGTGGTGTGGCGGTCATGGATGCCATTGGATGGATGGATAAAGTGGATTTGTTCTCTCTATACTTTTCCCTCCCTCCCTCCCTCCCTCCCTCCCCCCTCTCTCCCTCCCTCCACATTGCATCGCAGATAGCTCATTAAGAACTCAATCTGTGTGTGTTGTTTGCACACACAGACACGGGGGCGCCCTCGTTACAAATTCTTTTGGCTTCAGCAGACCAGGCCGGCCGGTAACAGACAGACAGACGTGTTGTTTTTTGGCGATTTGTATTTTCGTGCTGGCGATCTCTGGGGGCTCGTGGTCATGGCTGTGGATGGCAAGTGATGGATGCATTGCATTTATGTGTTGTGCGGGGGTGTGAGGCGGGGCGGGGCGGGCCACTCACTGCAGCAATGGTCGGTCCAAGTGTGTGGTAGGTACGCTCGTTCTTGTGTGTGCGTTGGTGCCTGCGAGCACCTGTGCTGTGCGGAGGACAGATACGAACACACGGATGGACTCGGATGGATGGATGGCTCGAGTGGTGCATGGGAATGCAATTAATGCTGCCGTGCCCTGCCCTTGAACAAATACTTACTTGAGCAGTCAGTCTCCTTCCTTCACACATGAATGAGTGGCACACGTGCAGTGAGTGCACTGCTTCATCCATCGAGGGAAGAATACGTCCATGCAGCGCAGGGAGGGCATCCATCGTCCGTCCACCACCCACCGCATACACATCATAGTATTGTCAGGTAATGTATGCCATCTTCATCTCAGTAGAAGGAAGGCTACGCGTCGTGTCCGCCTCAGCTCGCCCCCCTCACCCCCACCCCACCATCGGTGTCAGTTGTTTGTGAATGTGTCTGTCTTGTCTTCACTTATTGGTCTGCTAGTTGTTGCCCTCCACCTGGCCCGTCTTGGGGTTGGTGCCCAACTTGCGGCGGAACAGCAGAATGTGAGGCTCCCTGACACATGCACATGCCATGCCAACCACATCAATCACATTCACCACACACACAAGGCATGGCATTCATTCCTGGCTGGTTGCATTAATTGCATGTGGATGGGGTAGTTACGTACGGCTCGTGGATGTGGTAGTTGACCCAGCCGCGACTCTGCACGACGCCCACCTCACTGCAGCAGTACGTGTACACACAACGAATGCCATGCGCAAAGGCATCCCATCACGTGTCCCTCTGTCTTTGTGTAGCATTCATTGCAGTTCACCGCCATTCGGCCTCGGTGAGCAGCTGGTCTTGCTTGCGGCGACGGATCTCATTCACCTTGCGAGCAACCTGTAGGTGTTAATTCCACACCCATCAAAGAGCGCCCTTGTACGCTGGCATCCATCCATCGTGCTGTGCTGTGAGGTGATCCTTTTACGGCATGCGGCAGAATGACGTGGCGATACTCATACACATCGTCCTGCATGTACCAGATGACCAGCCAACAAACAGATGCGCCATTGCAAGGGGTCAGGAGCGGTGCTGCCATTCACCTGGTACTTGTCCGAGTATTCGATGGTGTCGGGATAGTGCGGCATGGTCGTATCACACTGCAAAGCCCTCAGTCACCTCTCCCTTCGCCCCTGTAGTCTTTTCACGCGTTTGATCTCAAATGTTTACAGATGCGAGCTTGAAGGGAGATCCTTCCCCTTTGCGATTTGGCGCCCCTGCGTCTGTCATTAGGGCCGCTGCCGGCAACTTGGGCGATTGATGCACTCACTACATTGATGCACTACATCCTTCAGCGCATTGTCAACAGCAACAGCAGAGGCCGAGATGAGACCCTCCGCCTCGCCAAACAAATGCTCACTGTCATGCCCAAGCTGCCTCCCAACGACATCGCCTTCACGCTCAACAAGCTGGCGCAAGACGATGCCCTCGTTGATGCGCCCTTCTGGAGGCACGCTGCCTCGCTCTTGGAGCCTCGGCTGCACGAGTTCTCCGGCGCACCTATTGGGCTGTTGGCCAATGCTTTCGCGAGAACCAACATGTCCGACGCATCGTTCTTCCGGACCCTGTCGCGTGAGCTGGTGGGTGAGTTGCGGCACGTGGAGGTGCGGCAGATTGCCCTCACTGTCAACGCCCTCGCCAACCTGAGGCACCGCGAGAGCGGCCACGAGACTCTCAGGGCAGCCGTCGACTTGGGGGAGTCTCTCTGGGACAGCGGCAATCCACAGGACGTGTCGATGTTGGCCTCGGCAATGGGCAAGGTGCAGGGGCGAGAGGTATCGCCCGATGTCATTCGAGCACTGCAGCGGCGTGTGTCAGCACTGGTGCAAAGCTTTGCTCTCGATGATCTGTCCCTCGCCAACATATGCAATGCCTATGCCAAGCTCAATGTCAACGAGCCCGCTCTGTTCGAGCTCATGAGCCCCATCCTGCTGGACCGGCTGCCTTATTTGACTCACCAGGGCGTGGCGATGGTGGCGAACGCGTTTGCCCGCTTCAACATCCGCAAGAAGCCCCTCTTCTATCGCATGCAGGAGATCCTCACGGATGACCGCAGCAAAGCATCGATCGACACCATCAGCCCCCACTCGCTGTCAACCATCCTCAATGCCTTCGCCAAGCTCTATATCTTCCCGCCTCACTTACTGCACGCGGCCACTCGGCGCATTTATCGGATTGCGGGCGAATTCGACCCACAGGGCTACTCGAATGTCATCAACGCCTACGCCCGCTTTCATGGCCGCGTTGAGGACACGCAAGAGGTGCGGCAGCTCTTCCTCATGCTCAGCCAGCAACTCGTGCGGCGGGGGCGCTATCACGACTTCACGCCACAGAACATGGCCAACATTCTGAATGGTCTGTCGCGCTTTGGGGTCTTCTGGCGGCCTCTTTACTCCCTCCTGGCTGACGAACTGAAGCGTCGATCTCACGAGCTGAACCAGCTGGACCTGGCGAACGTTGCCAACGCTTATGCCAGGGTGCAGGAGAGGGACGAGGAGCTGATGATTGTCCTGTGCCGGCGGCTGCCTGCCGTCATGCGAGAGATGAAGCCATTTGAGATTGTGGCCTTCGTACACTCACTGGGGCTGCTTCTGCCCGACTCTGCTATCGAAGCTCACGAAGCCGAGGACGAACACCCGACACAAGATGACACAGCGAGCATCCCTGACGTCAAGGCGGCCGTTAAGGAGGCCGTGAGGGTGATGCTCAAGGGCCATGGGGAGAGGCGGCACGAGAGGAGCAACCGGCCGCTTATCGACAGCCTCCGTGCATGCGACATCAGCATACTGCTGAGCGCACTCGCCAAGCTGGGGTACTTCCACCGGCAGCTGACCGACCAGCTAGTCGCCAAGATGGCCAGCAGCGTGTGGAAGGCCAACGCCATCGACTTATCGCTCACGCTGAACGCCCTAGGGAGATTCCAGCACCAGCCTCCGCCCGACTTCCTCACAGCAATGCAGAACTTCCTTGTGTCATGCCCGCATCCACCAGAGGATGACGATGCGCCAGCTGCAGATGCTGCCGCCGTCAAGCCAGACGATGATGCTGTTATCGATTATGACAACATGGACAAGAATGAGCTGAGGGCGGACAGATTGGTGGATCACTGCCACGCATTTTGGGTCCATGTGGATGCGCAGAATATGTCGTCTCTTCTGCACTCGTTGTCCAAGCTGGACGTGTACCGCTGGACGCTTCCTCTCACAACGAGGCTTGTGCGGCACGTGGACTTGACGGTGGACGGCAGGACAAATGCCGGGCAGAGAGAATGGAACGTCGCCTGTCTCTCAATCGCACTGATGGCTGTGGCGCACCTGGAGTCCCTGTGTCTTGTCACAAGCATTGGGGTGATTGAGCGGTTGTTGGGGGCGATTCTCCAGCGGGGAGCGATAGACGAGGCGAGCTGTAGGCAGGTGTTTCTCGGCCTGACGGTGCTACATCACCTCGTGGGTGTTCTGCAGTGGGTGCGGCTTGATGTGTTGGCGAACACTGATGCGCTGCTGAGGTGTGTCGAGAACCGAAGACTTTCTGCCTTCGAACAAGAGAGTGGTGGTACGTGTGGCGTGGGTGCATGCTAGTGAGTGAGACACATTTAGTGGTCGATTCGTGTGCAGCCTCTTCTTTCCGAGTGTCCTTCGTCATCAGACAACATACTCTTGATTCAAACAGCTAGCCACGCATCGCACCACATCACTCGTCCACTAAGAGTGTACATGTGTGCCGTCTCTTGACACACTCATGCTTTCCGTGCAGAAAAAGAGGACATGAGCATCAGCACACACTACTACCAACGAGGTACTGTGATGGCCCCGATATAAGACGACCGTCACCAAGGAAATTTCCACACGAGTAGATTTCGTGTGCTGGTTTGCGTTCAACGCAGAGGCTTTGCAAGGCCGCCTACCCACACAGAGACATCCATGCAAAGCCACCGCTGCCTCACGCCCACCGGCATGTGCTCTCTATCGGCTCAATGTCAGCCCTCGATCACAGCCTCCAGACACTGACTGACACACCGGTCGGGTCGACCCCACCAACCCCAGCTATTCACAGAGACTCGAACTAACCATACCACCAAAGGGCAGCCACTGCTCCCTCCCTTACAACAGCGCCCGCCCGCTTTCTGTCTATCAGCCAGCCCCACTGACTCATCTATCTCATTCCATCCCCATCAACACAAAAACAGCTCCTCCCCCCGCCACATAGCCCAGCTGACGCCAATCGAAAAGCGGGACACAGGACATGCCGTCCACGGCCAGCCCGTACTTGGCTGCCTCCTCGGCTATGGCACAGCGCACCACCTCCCGCAGGCCCAGCCGTGCACCCCTGACCCCTCCAAGCGCAAAGCACTGCAGGGAAGGCCGCACCAGCTGCTGCCCGTCGCGCGTCCTTTTGTGGTCAGCCTTGCTCGTGCCGGTGATCTCCTGGTTGCACGACACGGACAGGGAGGACGCCTCGACGACATACCGGCGCATTGCCGCGTTGATGCGCTTGCCGAGGGTCGTCTGGGTCTCGATGGCGCCCTCGAGTGCCGATGGGTCGACGAAGAATGACCCGATGCGCCATGTGAAGGCCGACACGTCGCGGTTGAGGGGCCTGGTGCCGCTGGGCGGTGGGAGGGAGGGGGAGGGGGACATGGGGCTGGGGCTGCTCTGGTGGGGGAAGGCCGCCGTCAGCTGCTCCGTGGTCATGTCGGGTAATGCAGCACTAAGGTTGGCCGCCCATGTGCGCATAGGGCGTAAGGCCGCGTTGACGGCGGCCATGACGGCCTCGCCCGTCGACAGCTGGCTCAGCTCCGCACTGTAGGCCTGCAGCGCCCTCCTCTCCCACTGCTGGCGCTGTTCCGTGGGCTTGGCTTTGAGGGGGGCGACGCCTGCCGCCTCCACACAGGCGCCGAGCTGGATCATCCGTCGAATGCACCTCCCCCTCTCCGCCTCCCACTCCTGAGCCAGGTCATCTGGGAGGTCGTCCCTCATCCTCTCGCCCGCCGCCTGGCTGAGTGGCGTAGCCCCCAGCACCCTGGTGTTGATGCTCGCCCTGAAGGCCGCCGGGTCAGTGGAGTGCAGCCAGTCGATGGACGTGTGATGCATGCCCCTCGCTGCACGGGCGAGAAGGCGGCCGAACTCCCTGTCGTCGATGGGGAGTGGGCGGGGGTTGGTGTGCAGGTGGGTCAGGATGGCTTCCTGTGCGTCGGCCTCCAGCACAGGGTGGTTGAGAACTGCCCGCAGGCAGTCGATGCGAGTCCGCTCGTGAGCCAGCAGGTGGGGCCATCGGCGCGTGAGTGTGCGGATCATGTAGAGCACGTCTTGGCCGCTGGCTGGCCGGTGGTTGGCGAAGTGCAGATCTCGGTGGTACTCGAGCATGTCCTCCAGCAAACTCTCACTGATGCCCTCCTCCTCTGCTTCATTACCACTTAGCCGCACCCCAATTCCAATCAGCAGGTCCACGACGCTCCTGTTGACGTTGCACACAGCGCGGTAGAGGGCCGTCTCGCCCACCGATCCCGCTATGAGACCTCCGCCAGCGATCATTTCTCGCACGACCGACGCTCCGCCGTCTGCCGGGCCCTCCCACCTAATGCCGTAGAGGTACGCAGACGAGGCCATCTCGCGCGCCCATCCGTCAATGCAGAGCTCTATCAGGGAGAACTCCAGCTCCCATCCCTCGTTGAGGTCTGTGAGCTGCACAGTGGCATTGGGATCGGCGCCCAGCTGGATGAGCAGCCTGACCCGCGCAGCAGTGATGTTGCGGCGGAGGACGCCTTCGGCCAGCCGACATGTGAAGTCGCTGGAGCCGTGTGGCACCTTGACGCGGAAGCGGATGTCGCCTCGCTCCACATCGAAGTGTGCCATAGAGGTGGCGGGCCTGAAGCGCAAAAGACAGCGGCAGGGATCAGATATCTCGAGATGCCCACGTCTGGGTGTGCAGTGTGTCCATCGCTCACCTCAACGACACTGGGCCGTGATTATTCCAGAGGTTCCTGTCAGGTTTGCCAGCTTGGCAAGACGAACCACTGCGAGCTTGTGAGCTAGGGTAGATTGCTGTGTAACGGAGAGAGAGAGGAGAAGACAAGGAAAGACAAGGAAAGCATTCTGAGGAGGCACGATCTTATCAGCCATCACCGAAGTGAGATCTGTGTTGACCACCCTTCATGATGCCATACGTGGACAGAAATAACTTTGACTGATTGGCCAGTCCATCGGTTTTATTAAAGTAAAAGCACTCTTACTCTGGGACTTACCGCCCAGCAGATCCTCTATTGAGCTAACTACAGGAAAGGTCCTCACCGGCCTTTTCGCACATGGGCGCAGCAACTTGG